AAAACACTTTAACGGTTTAAAACGCGATGTATTAGTTAAACTTATTTGAAAATGATTTTTAACTAAGGAGAGACAGTCTCCCCTTGAGCACGGCTGCTGCAAAGCATCCGAAACGTCGGGCCGAAGTTAAAAATCATTTTTAAATAAGTTTAACTAATATATCGCGTTTTAAACCGTTAAAGTGTTTTATTTAAAAAAAGTGTTGTAGTAAGTACAGGTATTGGCTTTTTATCAATCTGGAGGATTTTATTCTATAAATAGTCTAAGAATCTAAGAAAACGTATAGATTAAATAAAAGATGGTGGCTACTGCAACGAATGAACGTTGGTTCCTCTATAAATATGAATTAAATATTATATTACATGCCAAATACTAAATACGACAAACCAGATGGCGCTACCGTAGCAGGTTTTACTTTGACAACAGAGACGCCCTCCATATTTAGTCTCCCCGTGACAACGCCTACTGCAAAGCACCCGAAACGTCGGGCCGTAGTTAAAATACTTTTTAAATAAGTTTAACTAAAATACATCGCGTTTTAAGCCGTCACGAAAGTTTTATTTGTAGTTTTCCATTAGCGCAAACTACAGACTACACTTTTAAAAGACTTTTAATGTTAGAATTGAATATTACGTTTGTGTTTCAGTTTCATATATACAATATATAGATCCTTCTATATTGAATAGATACTTGCAATTGAGACTATTGATTTCGGGTAATCGTCGAAGTGGTCCTGGCGTTCGGAAATAGTTTCCCCGGATTTTCATTAAAGCAAGCGGTTGAGGCGGTCACTTTATACCGCTGCTGTAATTTTCATTCCCGGTTACGGAAAATTTTACGTTACGTTAAATACTGTCTGTAGTTTTCGCGAGTAGTACACATTTAAATAAAATACTTTAACGGTTTAAAACATAGAAATATATTAGACCTCGAGTTTACCCGTGACCACGGCTGCTGCAAAGCATCCGAAACCTAGGGCCGTAGTTAAAGTAATTTGTAAATAAGTGCACCGAATCTATTTCGCGTTTGAAACAGTTTTTTATTAAATTTAATTAAAGATTAGTTAAATTATTTAGTCCTTGGTATGTCCCCGCGACCGCAGCTGCTGCAAAGAATCCGAAACCTTAGTAAGTTTACCTATATTTTTTAAGTATGAAACAGTTAAAATAGTTTCATTTAAGGCAGTACAACTCGCGCAAACTACAGACATTACTCATTTACGTAACTTCTAACCACAGTAATAGAGCAGGTAAAATTTTGATTGCTTTTCGCCAACATACTACCTATTACACCAGGCTTTTCAACTTTCTAATTTCTAGACTTGCCAACTTATTAACAATATGAAGTGGAGATGACGTGCATAAAAAGTCAAACCTTCAGCGTTCGGGCGCGGCCCTCGAAAAACTTTTTCAATTTCCCCACAGCTTTAAATACTTGACGATAGAAGATTAAAATTGTTTTTTGTGTGCAATGTTCCTATGCTTTGTAAACGGCGTGCGAACATATATTTATGTAGGTTCCACTCATAAAGTTAGTAGAAAATAGTATATATACGAATCGAATTAAATGTTTATTGAAGACACTTAAAAAACAATAATGTCTTTTGAAAACTTGACATGATGGCACTGTATAAATAAAAAATCGATTATAAATTGAAAGAATTTACAACTCGGCCAGGACTTGAACCGGCATTCACAGCGTCAGACTCGGTAGCTCAATTGGTTAGAGCAACAGCACGAAACGCTGACGATGCCGGTTCAAGTCCTGTCCGAGTCGTAATTGCTGTTGTTTATAATCGATAACAAAATGTATCCAGATGCATTGTTTTAAAATAGTATAGCTTATAAATCACTTCCGGTCTGTAACCACGGCTGCTGCAAAGCATTAGAAACGTCGGGCCATACTTAAAACAAATTTAAGATAAGTAAACTCATATATTTCCAGTTTTAAACCGTCAAAAGTGTTACTAAATCTATACTCACGTAAATTATAAGCATCAAAGGTTTAATTGCGTCTAGTTCGAGAAGTCTTGTTTGATTAACGGGTTAAGTTACGTAGATCATGCACTTAAGATAGCTAAATGCGATTTTCTTTTCTTTCAGTAAATAAAGCGACGTACAATAATGTTTCTTTCCGTAATTCTGTTTGTTTGCGTTGTTTCCTTTCACAATATTGTGTAGTTAATATAAGCGTTCCTTCTTATAACATTTGCATACATGTATGAGTTATGAAAGCCTTACGTTCTTGTTTACACTAATCTCTTTAGTGTGTATTTGTTGATCGACGTTGCCTGGTAATGTTGATGGAATATTTGTTTCAGTGTTTTTCTTATATGTTACGTATTAATCTATAGTCAAATGTATAATACACGTGAAGCTATATTAAAAAATATGGTTAGTTTCTTTAGTATTATATATCGTAACTAGCTGTGCCCGCGACCTCGTCCGCGTGGAATAGTTACTTGTTTGTTTATTAATATATGTAAGGGCGCATTTAAGGCAGCCAATCTATGTCGTAAGTGCTATTATGCCGTAACACTCTCACCTCACATCACTCCATCTCTAACTCCCAAACTAATTCCTACACTCACTCCCACTCCCACTCTTATTCCTAAAAGGCCTAAGAAAATTTTATTGTTTTAGCTTCAAAAAGCTACGAATTTTCATATAACTTTTCACCCCCCTCCCCTTTTCATCCCACAAAGGGAAAAGGGTGAAAGGGGAGGGGGAAAGCTTTCACTCTTACATCCCCCTTTTCGCAATAAAAAGTATACTCAATTTAATTCTAATCCGTTCAGTAGTTTTGGCGTGAATGAGTAACAGACAGACAGACAGAGTTACTTTCGCATTTATAATACTATAGTAAGGGTAAAGAAACTAAGAGGGATCTTAATCTATGGAAGATTGTTATATGCGACAACGATTTTACATCTTGTGGACAACATTTTGGATGTTTTTAGATTTGAGACAAAAGTGAAACCGGCACAAAAATGTGTCTGCCATTTGTCGCATGTATAAAAATACATTACAGTGGAGCGTCGATTATCCGAACATCGCATAACCGAATGACCACTTATCCGAACAGTAGTAACGCGCGCCCGACCCAAATGATAAATAAACTAAACAATCTCGATTGCCACGACTGTGATGAGTGTGAGACTGTGTGGTAGGCATAGGGTAGGCATGCTTCGGCAGACGAAAATTCAAGGAGATTTCAGGCGTTAATGGTACCTACGTAGTACACATGTTTTATAAGATTTCATATGTTATTTCACCTCGCTACTTGTCTTTCCTTCTCTATCACGAATAAATATGTTTGTATGTAATTCTGTCTTCTTGTGGAGTTACAAACTATTTATAGATATAATCTGGCCCTATTTGTTCCTTTGTCTCCTCACCCCAGCCGATGGGAATTCCCCATCCTTCACAATCAATCTTACCTTTCCCTAACGATCCATACTCACCCGAATTCCGAGTTTTTGGCATTACAAATGTAGAGTGATACCAATATATCACACGAAGCCATTTAGTTATGGAAATGCTTCTTTGTGGGACAGGTAAATTAATAGGCCAGCTGACCTGGTAAAGGTTTTGTTGTTTAAATTAATATTATTATGTAGATACAACTCTAACAAATAATTGGTAAAAAACTTCGATTAAAAAAAGTGAAAGCACGGTTTCCCCCCTTGGGAGCGGCGAACACATTTCTTAAGGTGTCCGTTTCATGATCCGTTGTTTTAAGGGCAAGTAGTCGTGAGACTTCCATGCCTTGCCCGACCGAAACGATTTTATGCTTCACTGGGATTCGAACCCAGGACACGTCGCGCTTAACGAAATGCTAGGCCATACGTTTAACCAATTGGCTACTGAAGGCGGTCGATATATCGATAATCTTAAAAGATTATGGCATATATTGTCGCGGAGATTTTTTTTGAGAAAAAAAATTAATAACACTTGTATACCCCTTTTTGGTATCTTACCGTTTTTCGCAGCGTTGGCAACGGTCAAAGATAAATAATTTTCCCAGTTTTTTTCATATTTTCCACTGCTTTTCGCTCCTATTGGAAGTTGGAACGTGATGCTATGTAAAATCAAGCACAAAAAAATCAAATTCATACTAGTAGTTCCTTATATTAACGTTTATCGTACGTACGTTCCTTATAAGCAAAAAAAAAAGCTCTTTAGCTTACTAATTTTAGTATAGATAGAGAGAGTTCTATTAACTTTATAAGTTAAGTGTGTGACCACCACAGCTGGTTGCAGGAAATCTTTTGACACCCGTCCTTCGTCTAATTTATCACACCTGTCTCTAGATTAATGGTGAACGGAAAGGTCGAAGAGTTTGTGGTCGTAAGACAGGATTTCTGATAGTATTAATAGTAAGAAGGACGTGACGGAGCCAATTTGGACAGAGTAAAGCCATCTGAGTGCAACTTTGCTTAGCAATAAAATTAAAAACATATGTGAATCACACGTTTTGACCGCCTCCGTTGCTAAATGGTTAAATTGCCTTGCCTTTTCTTTAAGCGAAATATCTTGGGTTCGAATACCGGAGTAAGAATTGGTTATAAATTGTTTTTGTCGGGCGGGTTACAAGAGATTTATGAATCCTGTAAATAAAATTGATCAGTAAACGGATACAGAAATATGTCCGACCCCAAACCCCACTGGGGAAACTGGAATTCACAATAACAATTACAATGTTATCTGTGTAAAATACATGTGGTTACTATAATCTAGAACAACGGATAGGCGATGACTGTTCTTTTGTTTCGATTGGGTCATTGCCGTGGCCAGTGAAACGGACACAAAAATGTGTTCGCGTAATATTCCACTGGGGAAACGCAACTTCATAATAATCACTAATTTTTTAAAATATACAGTTTATTTCTTCTTTCTCTCTTTTCTTTTACGCTTTTAGTAAATGAAATCCTATGTTGTAAAGCCTGGCGCACAGAGTTCAAAGTACTGTTATATACCAATGTATTTCTTTTTTTCCAGATTTGTGTAATGCAGCGACTAAAATCCAGGCTTCGTTCCGTGGGCACCAAGCGCGCAAGCAAACCCAGGTTGAGAAGACTAAAGAGCAACAGGATAAGGTTTGTAATGGATGATTATCTATGTTATCCCTATCGTTCCGAATATTTTAGAAAAACTAAATAAACTTAAAAACGTAATTTCGTATCTATTTCTCTGGAAACTCAATTAAAAGACTTAGATAGCCTTTTTGTTGTTAAATTTTGTCTTCTTGATAAAAGAAATAATTTTATGAAATTTTTGAACATTTTGATATTACCTTAGACATTAACGAAATTGTTTTAACTTAGTGAAGATCTTTCTTATATGTTTATAACTATATATATAAAGTAAATAGTAAATGGTCTAAATTAATAAGCAAAAAATCTTACTCTTACTTCTTTTTTACTTATCAATATTTATTTCTTAATTGTGCAATCCTTTATTTTAATTATTCGTTCATGTTTATTTTAAGTATATTTTTAATTACGTAAACCTAATAAACAATAAACGTCAAATATTACACTTAAAAAATACCCTAACCACTTACCAATAGAATAAACAATATAAGCGTCAATTATTAACGACGATATTTTCAGAAACTTTGACACTGTAAATGACAAAAGTACTTTTTATCGAGCACAAAAGCCTCCGTTTCCCTATAATATTTCGAGTTTTTCTCCTTACAGTCCATTAGTTACAACTTGGCTCGTAAAACTTATTATTGGGGGAAACTCTACCGCTTGAAAGTAAATTATAGACTCACCTCGGTATTGGCTGATGCAGAATAGCTACGATGTTGAGACTATTTATTACATTAAAATCTATAGACTTGTCTTGTGAATAAAAAAAATGATTGAAAAAAACTCTATGATTAAAAAAAACTACTGCCTACATACGGTCTGGTGAACTCATAAATTCTACTAAGTAGTACTTGGTAGAAGTAACTGAAAGGTAGGTTTGTCATCACCCTTAATAACTTATTGCTTACTTGCGTTTCTTTAAGTGTTCAAGTCACGAAGGGCAATGAAATGTAATAATGAACTCTTTTCCCTCATAAATCGGATTTTTCATTCTTGAACGCTTATTAACTTTCAAATTGGAAACGTTTGCATCAATGTTATAAGTGCGAAAGTTGTGGGTCAACTGTGGGCAAATTTAAAGCATAAAGGTTGGGCCGTAGTGTAATTAAATAAATAGGTCGGTAGAGGTAGGTAATATAGCGCGTTTTAAACCGTAAGCTAAATGTTTTATGAAAAAATTATGACTACATTATTAATACGTAAAAAAATATAGGAAGCCCGGCTCACAAGATGACGTGTATATAGGATATAATTAGAATTAGAGAGGCTTTTGAATAAAATTAAAAGAGGAGTTCTTCTAGGATCAAACGCACCACCGACAGGTCAGTTCATGCGAATAATACATATTTCAATAACACGTTTTAACGGTTTAAAACATAATTTATATTAGCTGAATTAGTTTTATTTTACCTATTGTACTACTACTGTCATGGGGGTCCTGGAAATGGTAGGTTCTCTAATGTCAAAGTCAAAACTGCTACGCTAGCGCCATCTGTTTCCTCGTAGTTGGTATTTGGAGAAACTAGCAAGGCCCTAACAGAAATGACTAACGCTGTTGTCTCATTTATTGTTGTGCCATTTTTTTCCATCAAAAAACATTCTAAATTTCACTATTTACTGATATTTTGAAAATAGCGTTACATAGTCGCGTTTTTGTAACTACTAAACTGCAAATTGACTATGACGTTCACAAACCTTTTATATCTAAAGTAAGCAGCGATTTTGTATTATGAATTAAAATTGTAATCCGTTCCTTTTGAAAAGCATTCGCAAGCTGTTTCGTTTATTAATGAGCGTCGGCTCTCCGTCTCAAAGCAATATTTCTTGTTGCATTATTTTGTAAATAAATTAAGCAAACAGACGTCGTATTTTTGCTGAAAATATAACACTGAAATTTTAAATTCAATATTCTTCTTGTTAGACACACTGAAGACAAGAACAAACAATTAGGGAAAAACAAACAGAGTAGAAAGGTTGTTTTTTTCGTAGATTGTTCAACAACTATTTTACGGATTAAGACATGGCTTTCTCACTGGTATTGATTTAGTTTGGTTGTTCGTTAAACTGATTTGAATTTGGAGGTGAATTACATGTATTGGCTATACTAAATTAATGGATTAATAAATTATCTTATAAAAGACTCATTTAAATAAAACACTTTAACGGTTTAAAACGCGATATATTTAAACTTATTTGGAAATTATTTTTTACTAATAAGCCGTTTAAGCCGTTAGTGTTCTATTAAAATGTGTACTAATCGCGTAAACTATAGACAGTATTTATAAAAGACTCCTTTATAAAGATTTCTTGTCTGTCTAGTTGTTATCTAAGTAGATTTAGTCTTGTTTAAGGAAGTAAGTTGTTTAAGTAAATGTTTGTAATCCTTTTGTTTAACCTTTTTTTCGGTTTGTTTGTATTACTTTGGCCTACCTTGAACTTTTCATTTCCTCTATTTTGTTTCTCTTAAATTGTAGGTTGCCTGAAAGAGATGGCTTGTAAGCGATAAGGTCGTCCATTAATCCTTTAAACATTTGTATTATTATTATTTTTTATGTAATCAAGAATCGTTAAATAAAATAATTATACTACATAGGACGTATGCCTTCGTAATAAAACATAGATATAAAAGGCGCTCGGCCAAGAAATTAATTAGTATGCATTGTTCAAATATGCAAACTCCTTCGAGAAGCCCTAAAATATAAAACAAGCTGCCAGATAGCTAACTAATACCGGAAGCGGTAACTAGGACGGCAGGGGCCGGAAGTGGGTTGTGCCTAGCTTCCGTTAATGAAACGGATTTGTATCGGTTTCAGTCACCGCTAAATAATAAAATGTGTAGTTGGTCTGCTATTACATCCTATAAACTTAAAAACATATATTATTTTAAATTTAGTACTTTGTTTTAACCGCGATACATATTATGCTACTTTTTGAAGCTTACAAATACGAGAAAACAGATGGCGCTGGTACGCATTTCGAGTTAATGCTAGAATTATTACCAACGCCGTGCAAAGCATTTGTAACAATGTTATGTCGTGTAATGTTCAGCGTGTGGGAGACAACAACATTACACTTGTATGATAATGTGACGTAACACGTAACGCTACACAATGGCGGTATAGGAGCCCACTGAGTTAAATTAAATCGAAACAAGGAAATTTAAAATTTTAATTACATAAATCAAATCGGTATAACACCAGCGTTATTTGTTTCAGGCCATTTTAATGCCTGTTTTAGGTTAATTTATGCCTCGCGTGCTCTCATTTAGCAAAGTAACTCAAATATATTTTAGCATTTTCCCGTTCGTACAATGAGAGCGTTTGAAAAAAGTCGTTTTTAGCGGAAATTTATTTTAACCGTTGTACAATGTTACAGCGCCCAGTATTTATTGTGGGGCGTTTGCTCGGGACTTGGCAAGGATAGATGTTAACATACAATGTTTAATGGGAACATTGAATATAAAAAAAGATTTCATAGATGAAAGCTAAATACGGTCTTCGACACTTATATTGAATTTAGTCTAAGTAAAATAAATGAAGCTTGATCAGACATAAAATTTTAAATAAAAAAGTATGAGATACATTTTGTTTTAGCGTGGTCTGGGAGGTCTGGGTTCGAATCTCGGGGAACCATTAAAAATCGCAAAAGACTGCGGTTGTTAGGTTAATTATTTTACTATAAAAAACAGTGAAAACAAAATAGAAAAGTGTGACTTTAAAAACTTTTAAATTTAAATAGATTTTTTTTACAAGATTTAATAGATCCATCTTATTTTTTAAAGTAAGCTACTTAAAAAAACAAATACGACTGATCTATGCAGAGAATGATGATAATGACTTCATATAGAATATATATTACAAAAAAAAACGCCCTCATTTGTTTAATGTATAGTGTCATGGTTTCGATCTCCATCGTGTCCAACATGTTCCTAATCAAATTATTTTTATATCGAAATTCCGGCCATGTCACGAACCACCGATCCGCAGATAAAATTCGTGAAGTTTAATCGCTATTCGTTTTCAGTCTGTGGATTTCCGAATATCCAAAAAATATGTATAAAGGCTGAGGTACCTTTCCATTGAACCCCATGTTTATCTGCCCGCTATCATAAAAAAACCTATAAGACCTTTATTAGAGAGAAGAGGACTATTTTTCCTTTGATGTCGCGATAATTTCGATCGTAGAGACTGGATACCATTATCGATGTTCCACTACATTGTCCAACTGTGTCAACTGAAGCATAAATTACGATAAGCCGATCGCAAAGTGGATGGGACAAATGATTGGATGAATCTGATTTGTGGCGCGAATCATTCGCAGGAACGTTTTAACCGTTTATGTTATCTGGGCAATCTACATCGTTTCAAAATGGCGGCATAAGGAGATTTACGCGAACAAGAATGTTTTTGTCTATACTAATAAAGCTGAACAGTTTGTTTGAACGCACTAATCTCAGGAACTACTAGTTCGAATGGATTTTTTTATGCTGGTTAGAGCATTTATCGAGGAAGGCTATAGGTTATAAAACATCGCGCTTGACCAATGGACTGAAGAAAAAGGAAAAATACTAGAAAAACGGGGAAAATTATTCTTTTTTGTAAGTTTCCAATGCGTACGCAGCAAAAACGGTTCACGATACCCAAAAAGTATATTACATAACTGAATGGACGATTTCTTTTTCAACGATCTAAATAAATGTCCACAGCCTTTGTTTTAAGGTTAACTTGCAAGAACGGCGAGATGCGACCGACGTCACGTGTAACATCTTTAATTTAGAAAGATAAGGTGGTTTTAAAATAAAAATTTGGTTGCCCAAAATAACTATTCTACAATGATGACTCTGAAATAACTAGTTTTAATATAATTAGCTTGAAAATCACACTCAGTATTGTATTTTGTCGCCAAAAATTGCGCTTTCATTCACAACACAAGCCTTTTTAGAGCCAAAGTTCACAAAGGGAAACATATCAAAGACTCGTTCGTACCACGAAAGTAGTTCACATTCTTACAGTCATTATAACGAGAGGGCTTGTCATATCTTTGTTTTCCCGCTAAAAATAGTTTTTCGGTGACAAATATGTTGCGCTGTATGCGGGAAATTGGAGAAAATTATGACCCAATTTTCTTGTATGTTTGTTTTTACGTCATTTACTGTCGACTACTGTGGGATATTTACGACCCTCGATGTCTGGGGATCAGTGGTATTCGTTACACATTACTCATGTTTTGTGGGTACTTTCATGAGAATTGTGGGTAGGGTTATAATTAGATTATCATAAAATCTTAGATGGGCGTGGTCCGTCTTCACATAAAAATATTAATTAAGTTGGCATCTCTTTACTAGTGTATTATCAACCATAATTTGTTAAATTAGAAATCTGATCGCTCCATTTCAATACGATTATTCCATTGATAAACATGGTTTTAACAAATTCTAAGATAACCTAAGCTTTGGTAAAACAGTATTAAAGGTTTTAACTACGCGCTGACGTTTGATACAGCCTGTGGGATAGACACCTATATTAAAATAAAACTAGTGAGTAGGTTTTCTATGGAGCAAGCAAATGTACAGACTGTGCCCTGCCCGACCGAAACTTTAACTGCTTAATCAAGAGCAATAGCTACGTTTACCCATCGAGCTCCATTATAACTATCATAATTTTATTTTACCATGCTCAAAAGAATAACCAATTTATTAAATTTGATTTTGGAATAAACATAGTTTCTGCCTTGTTTCGCAGTAAGATATAATTAGACAATCTAACGTTTAAATAAAATACTTTAACGGTTTAAAACGCGATATGTATTAGTTAAACTTGTTGAAAATTAATTTACGGCGCGGAATATAACATAGCGAAGACACCGTTAGTCAATTCTGCGAGGACGTTAGCCAGTTTTGCCAAATACCAACTTCGACGGGACAGATGGCGCTAGCGTAGCAGTTTCTACTTTGACGTCAGAGACACCCTCCATCTTTAGTCTACGGCTGTTGCAAAGCATCAAAAACGTCGGGCCGTAGTTAAAATTATTTTCAAATGTCGTTCAAATTTAAATTTTAACTAATATATATCGAGTTTGAAACCGTTAAAGTGTAATTATTTAAATGTGTACTACTCCCGTAAATTACAGGCAGTATTCAATCTAACGTTAATTGTATTTTTTAAATCCAGTTGTTTCTGAGATAAGTAGTTTCAAACAAACTCTTTTATTTAAGTACAGATTACCATACACACTAAAAATAATCCACGCTTACTAAAATCCAGTGTTAAAACTCGCCAAGTCCCCTTTTGACCCGCATTAATTCTAGTCACGTTCCCACTTGGCTATATCTAGAAGGTGGTCTTAGTCTAGAAATGTTTCCATTGTGGTCTGAATTGATAATGGCTTTGTGACAATTGTTTTTGATATTAAATGCATTCATTCGATTTGATATCAAATATTTAAGAAAATGTATGTTAAATTAACGTTGAAAGCAAACACGAAAAATATTTAATACAAATTTCTTTTAAATAATAAAACACTCTGAATGATTGAATACGCGAAATTTATTAATGCTTTGCCGCTAGTTAGGTTGTTAAATTAAAACAGACAATACTTAACATTACCATGTTCAAAAAAAAGCAGTAAAGAATGGTTTTAATTTACCTACCTAAATTTTAAGGCTATAAGATCAAAAGTCTCGTTGGACTAGCGGTTAGTGCATTCGACTGCAAATAACCAGGTCCTGGGTTCGGATAATGAAGCGAGGCGAAATATTACTTCGGTATGAGACATTTCTCGCAGCCCCGAGTTTGGAAATAGGTTTCAGATATGTCTATTTTCACTTGATTGTCACTTTGCTCTGGTATGTTATTTTTGTCGTTAAAATATAAATAATTCAAGTCAAAAATTGCAGTTAGGCTACTCTGTCTCTAGTGTCCTCAAATAAATGTCTAGTGATGTAAATATTACTGTTGTCCATAAGGAGAAAAACCGATACTTACCTACAAAGCAAAATTCTTTTAAGTAAAAGTAGCACTGGATTCTCAACTTTTTTTCATTAAAGAAATTATAAAATTTTAAATTATATTATTTAATTTACTTAATTCTCTAAATCAGCGTATTTTTTTTACAGGAAGATGTAGAAAACATCGACCTCACGGATCCTGACCTGAACAAAGCAGCGACCAAGATTCAAGCTTCCTTCCGCGGACACAAAGTGCGTAAAGAAACGCCAAATTAAAGCGAGCTACTGTCTCCTTTACTCTGTGGCTTTTGTACGGAATTACTATGAAGCTATCTAGTCAAAACTCTAGTCACATAATTTTTCGTTCGTAAGAATTAATGTTATAGGTAATATCAAGTATACTGTATGTAAGATGTTATTTTAAACACTAATGTTTTTCTGAATAATTATTAAGTATTATAATCTAGGTATGTCGTTTATTCATTTTCAGATCTTACACATATTCAAGCTTTTGAGAGGCACAATCATATATTTTATTTACGTCTAGTAATTTCGTGCGTACAAAAGACATACATAATAGAAATGTATTTTTAGTGACACGTCAATGAATATACATATATACCATATAGCACTGTAGTAGAGGAACGTCTTAAGTGGAAAACTGTATAGGCAAAATATTCAATAGGAAAAACTACTCTTAATATCAATCTAGAATTGTGTTCATACCTTTTTAAACCGATCACGTGAAATCGACGTGTCTATAACAATACAAGTAGACAACACGAAAATATTAATACTATTAACGTACCTATTATAGATATTACCTCTCCATTTTTCTATAAATTCTGGTAAAGTCTTGTAAATTCACTAAGTATATTTACTTTATAACATTCCAATGTATTTTCTTATTGATAATTCTCGTATGTTTTGCATTTTCAATATTGATGTAAAACTTATTGGACTTCAAACTTACCGTGCTGTTGGTCTATGTCCATTTAATACTGTGGTTGTTCAGGGTGGAGGGTTAAAGGGGCGAGGGGGGGGGGATGTTCTTAACATCAATAATCCGTTTGTTTTACAACAGAATTGAAGGGCGTTGTTATAATATTTTAAAATTAAGCATAGTCTTAGGGCTTACCTGTTATCGATGTGTTGCTGTATACCTATTTTAAGAACAGTATAACGTTATGTTTATCGTATAATATGTTGCTATGTGATCACGCATCCGATAATTTTCTGTAAATTGCCGAACCTTACGGGTTTATTAAATTAAAATATTTAATATTCGCCAATAGAATATTTCTTTTATTTAATTAACCCTAAAACCCTAGTTAAATTTCAACCATTTCGTTTTTACATCATAATTTTTGATAGTACCATCATTACTAACTGCAAGAAACAAACAAAAAAACTACTAACAAATTTCCACAAAATACCTTTACGTAACGCGTTACTAGTCTGTCTGGATTTCAGTTTAAGTTAAATTTTACCTGAAAATAGGAAGAAATGAAATAAAATACGGCAAGAATACACTGAAATATTAAAAAATTCACGCAAAGTGTGACCATTAGATAAGAATAATTTTAACGTCAACAATTTGAAATACCTTTCACTGTTTCAAACGCGAAATATATTACTTAACTCAATTTCAATTTATTTCAAATACGGACCGAATATTCCTGAAAGTAATTAGTTAAATGTGCAGCTTAATCTATAGACAATACTAAATTATTTTAAAGATTAAAAAATATTATTCAAGCATTACAAAGAACGGTAACTCTTAGAAACTAGATGTTATAATTTATCGCATAATTTACAGAAAAAAAACAAAACTTTGATTAATTTGGAAAATTATTATTAATAATTATTTATACATTGAAAAAAATTTACGACACGAGCAGAACTTAAACCGGCATACACAGCGCTCTGTGCTGTTGCTCTAACAAATTAAGCCAACATGTCCTCACGTAAACGTCGATTTTTTTCAAACTATTGATGCACTACTACTAAAGTTCTTGACATTTTGATTGCCATAACGATAGTATTACCATCACATTTCTATATAGTTTAGTGTTACACGTGAAATCAGTTCCATATCAAAAAATCAATCTAAAATACGACTCGCTAACTTCCATCGCATTTACGAAACAGAACATCCATTTGCTGTATTTCATCAACCTCGTCACGGCACGTGTGATGGCGTGCCATAAAACTACAAATACTAACATTTACACATCTACTACACGTTAAGCCTTTCCTCCACTCCAAGCTATATATCGTTTAAAATAGGGCGTGTAGGTCACGTCACGAGACTTCCTTAGTGGTTTGCATTTATAGAGACTAGAGTACAATACAAATAATTCTATGCACAGAAAAACGTTATTTACGCCAATTTGATAATATTTAAAGTTGAAATGCTTTATAGCTAAATAGCTCTCTTTTAAGCGACTGAATGATTAACGTATGATTACAGCAGAGAAGATACATATAAACTATATATACTACTAATAATACAAATATAATTTACTTGAGTCAATGTTGTACGTTGCCTAGGTGGGGTCCTCTACACCACCTAGGAGACTTCCCGCCAAGATAAGCGTTCTCTCCCCACTTTTGCTACTATTGAGCGTCGATAAGTTTATTTTGGTCGGCTTAGTCTCCATTTCCCTTATGGCTTTCGATCCATCACGTTTTTGGTTAGTTGATCATCAGGCTGTGGAGCTAGTTCCAATTGCGACGCGCGATTTGGCGGTGTATTGGTGTTTCTTGTTATCTTTCCAGCAAGTATTCATTGTAGATATCTTAAGACCAAAACGCGATAAAGATCTGCCATAGACATCGGTTGACAAAGACTTAAAACTCTGATATATATGAAAAATATGTTTCAACTAAATGGCAATCAACTTGTACAATTAACTAATTTACTTGAAACTTGACCTAATCCGTGAAGGAATAAAGACTAAGCTCTCTAGAATGAACGAAAAAAAAAAGAAGGGGGGAACGATAAAAGTAGAAAAGAAACAAACAGGATAAAACATTGCTATTTGATTCTGTCGCCTGACGACATGTCGACTACTACCGATCTATACTTTTATACAAAGACTTTTAACACTCAACAATTTTAAAACTATTTAAAAAGTGACTCTCTACTTTTGGTTCTGGGGATTTTAGTAGCTCTGAGATTAGAAATACTGAACTGTTATTTTACCTGGCCCGGAACCGAGTTTAAATCTTGCTGTTGTTAATAAATAGATTATGTAAGGTTCGCAACGATGATTATAATAATAATAATGTATTATGATGATTAACTACGAGCGAAAATAGAAATTCGGTTGGTTCTCGCTTCTAATTGTATTGGTATTTGAAAACACGCGCGATATATCTTCGCTTTAAATGTGGAGGCGTGCCTTTACCGTAATGGAAAGAATGGTGCAACGATTTCCCGCTATTCTTTATTGCTGCAACCTTTTCAGCGCTTTGTGTGAATTTCAATGATTTTTGCTTTTAGACAGGTATGAAAAGGTAATTTCCAGAGAACTTACCTACATAAGCTGAAGTGTATATTAAAATGTGTTGTCAAGAAGTCGTAGGTTCAAATCTCAGGAGTTTTTGAGAAAGAGATAAAATTCTAAACATTAACATAGCAGTAGATATAGTAAATCACTGAAACGGATACTAAAATGTGTCTGTTTTGTTTTGTATATTAGCTACTAATGACAATATCTACATAATTCAAATGATTATGTTAATTCGAATCTGTATATAAATTCAAACAAACAGATGTTAATAAATTCAACTAAAACAAAGCCTGGAGATGTAGCTCCAATATATACTAACTACTAGTTATAAAACTGAAGTTTTAATAGCAAAGATAGATTTGCCATGAATCCAAAAAAATATTATAAAAAATAACTTGAACGCAAAATTCGGCCTTAGTTCTCAGAGGATTACAAATTTAACTCGTCAAGTCCAAAGTCCGAACCCCTATCAATGTCAGAGATATTATGTCGGATCCTTGGGATTAATGCAGAATTAATTGAATTGATAATTTTACTTCGAAAGTATACAAAGAGCTATGAAAACGAACATGAAATACGGATATTAAAATCGGCTGTTTAAAATACAGTGTTAGAATGGAGTCTCCTTTAGTTAAGTACGTGTTTTCTACCCTAGAAAATGTTAATAATTATTTATAACATTATATATTATTTAAATTTAAATACTGTAGTTTAACGCGAGTCATACACATTTAAATAACACTTTATACAATTAGTAAACACTTTAACAGTTCAAAACCCGACATATATAAGTTAAACGTATGTTCATTAGTTTAATAATACTAAATACTTTGTTTGCAAATACTCCAATAACGCTTTCAATTACAAATAAATTTCGCTACTTCTAGCTTATAGGTATGCTAAGTTATTACAAGAACAATGATAAATGAGATTAGTCTCCTTGACAAGACCTCTAGAGTTAACATGAGGTTTGAACTATAAATTGATAACGATTTCTGCTATTCGAATTGTAATACCATTCTCTGTTCTAGATTATTCAATTATCTATGCGTTAAATCTAACTAATCTGACCACAATCCAAACCACATTGAAGATAGAAATGGCTCACTGAAATATTAGGTCTAATAATCGTAAGAGGCACTGTACACTTGCTTGAATTACGGAAATTAAAGTATTAGTAAATAAGTTAATTCATACTTATATTATAAAGCTCTGGAACTACTTGTTTCAATTGTAAATACTGTTTCAGATATACCATTTATCAAGGAAGGCTTTAGGACGTAAAACATCAAGGGTGCGACCGTTACGTGCGAAACTGAAAAAATGGGAGAAAACTAATAACATTTTTTATCTTCGAGGGCTTCCATAGCGTGCGCTACGAAAACGGGGAAAAAAAATCATGTCCGGGATACCTAAGTCTATCTTTTAAGATTAGCTGGCAAAAACCGTTGAGCTAATGAAATATGATGGACATTATGCATTTATTAGAGTTGCTATAATAGTATTAAACTTGTAAAGAACAAAACAATGTTTGCCGGCTTAGCACGTAATAAAGTAAGTTAATAAGATAACATAAATTGTGTACATTTGTTAACAAAGTATTATAGTTCTAACTTTATAGCTTAAAGGCTTATACTTAGATAGCATACCTATGCTTAAGCCTAAGATACAAAAGATATATAATGAAATATTATTTTATATCCTTTAGCTCTTACCTTTAAAAAAATATATTGTTTTTCATACTGTCTATTGGCGTAGCGACCTAAAATGGTTATTATATGAATTGGAATTTAGAAATGCATTCAATACAATGTTAGGAAACTAACTAAACACCGTACAATACTGTTTGTGCAGCCGTCCTAATAAAAGTAAAACTAGATTTTCAGCATCACAAAATTCGTACCACAAATCCTATTATGAACTTCCAATAGTTTCAACGAATCATGAATTTGAATTTCCAATTTAGATCGCGTGTTTGCGCTAACATGTAAAGTATGTAGAACAAATGAAATTAAAGAAAACATTGGTACTTACAAATCAACATATAAGAGTGATGTTAGTTAAAAACAACTGCAAATTCTAGCCAAAGCCGATGACAAAAACGTAGACAAATGTGATTGAATCTAGTATTTTTTCTATATTTATTAAGCTAGTTCTGTTTATTTTTTTTCAAATGAACGGTAGTTGATTTTCTTTTCTTTTCGGCCTGCACTATTACATCAATCGTCAAAAAAGGTTTTTTTAAAATTAGATTAAAAGTTTGCAGCCAAAGTTATTCGTTTGAGTCGCTAATATTATATTCCATCAAGAAATTCAAAATACATACATTATCAATCAATGTAAAAGTGATATCCCGTTTCCCCCGTGAGTCAAGAAGCAGGCACATTTCTGTGTCCGTTCCACCGATCAGCTCTTTGACAGGCAAGTAATTGATCGGACTTCTGTGCCCTGCCTGACCAAAACAACTTCTTTCCCCGGGATCCGACTCCAGACCCATCGCACTTAATTGAATCCAATACGTTTAACCATTTAGTTATAGAGGCGATCGGAAGGCAGATATATGTATGGATGAAATTGTCTAGAGATGTATTCGCTCGTATATTTGCCTTTGGCCATTCTTCCATTTGAAGGAAATAATGTCGAAAAAGGACGATGGAGGGAAAAAAAAGGGAGAAAAATCTTCAAAGGAAACGTATTATAAAACAATTTAATGAAACTTATTTTCCTAATCTTGGACAGTGTCGTCTTGATTATTTTCTTTTCCAACGTTCTCACTTTCTTTGGCACAATTTAATCTTATTGATTTCACATTGTTAATAGTGATGTCCATGGTGTTCCAACTTTTCCAAAGAACCTGAGGCCTCTCTTTTGGATAGTAAAATGGCGTATATGTATAAGGGTTGTTATAACATTCGTATGAATAATGTCTCTTATAAGGATTGTAAGACCAGTGATATGGTCTATGATAGTAACTGTAAGGACAATATGGATATCTATTGACATATTGATAGTTGGAAACGATAGGCTGTGATATTTCTTGATAACTGCTGTTGTGGATAACTATGGTTGAAGGTTCTGCAATAATGAGATCATCAATTATTTTTAATTTAGTACTGAAAAAATCATCAAAGAAGTTTCACTTACGCGAAATTTTATCTGAGTTAGCAACGTCATGATTTAAAAAGATCTCTATAGATTTTGGTGGTGTGTCTTTTTTCACAGTTTCATTGTTTGGTGGGAAACTTTTAATTATATTTTTTTCGTTTAGGATCTTTGGCAATGAACTCTTGCAATCGTTTTCGGTTTTATTATAATCATTATGACTTATTTTTAAATCAATAACATCATCAATAATGCTGTCGCTATGTTCATGAGATTTATTTCGACTTTTTGTTGAAATTTTCTTAATAAAATCAGAAACGTCGCCATCTTCAGCTTCCACAGAGTCTTCATTAAACTTGTTCTTTTGTTCCTTTAAATTTTTTGGTTGTTGTTTTCTCGAAACATCTTCGTGATTGATTTTTGTGAAATTATTTGCAGAAATTTTAACAGGCTTTAAACTTTCTCTGGGTGTCAAAAGTAAATCTAGAGGAATTTTTATTGCTTTTGAAGTGTTCCTTAATGTTTTATTTGGAGTTGAACTTTTAGAGACCACCGTATCCTTTTTACTCGGGTCCTTTTTTGTTTCATTTGTGCTTGGTTTGTATGTATCAGCTACTGCATTAATATTTGTTTTATCGACATTTTCATTACGGTGCTTAGATTTTGTTTTAATTTTAACAGCATCTTCAATAAAATGTTCTTGACTATTTATTGCCTTGTCGTGTGATGTTTGATTTTGTTTCTGTAATTGTATCTAAAACGGACTAACGTTTTAAATAAACTGATTGTTCGTTTATGATATATATAATTGTAATTAAACAATACACTTACCGCACTAGCTAAACATAGAAACAAAAGCAACAACACACCCTTTGAATTTAAAACACCCATATTTCAACTCCATTAAGTTAATTTAAGCCAAACACACATCTCTGAAAGCATATGAAAACTGACTTGTTATAATTAAATGTTTTTGAAATCTAGCTGCCGATCTTAATTGATCATGAACGGTAAGGTTTTATTATTTTAAATGAAGCTCGAATCATGTATAACATCGTGAAATATGTAAAGTCAAGTTTAAAATCTAGGACTTCAAACTATGACGCTGAGAATTTCAGCTTTGTTAGTTTAACCTATATATCTTGGTCGAACTTAGTATGAATGGTTGTGGTTTTAGGTAATGTATGTAGCATGTGTATGTCAAATGCTGAATTTATAAGATACTAGCTTCGTTTCTTTGCAACATTGACATTATTGCTTAATACTTACTTAATTTTATTATATGTTGATACAAATAACAAATAATTGGTGATAATGGATTCGTTTTTCCATCAAATTTAATTACCATAAAAACGGTCTTTGCTACCTAATCTGAGATGAAAAAATACTGTTGCCGATTTGTTTCCTTATTTATTATTTGGTGTCTTGAACCATACTTGTAGAACTCTCAGTGGTAACCCTCCTTAAATCCTCATTTTCTACTGTTTGCACCTGTTCAAACGAAAACTTTCCAATTTGAACCGGTTATTCCTAATAATATCGCGTTTAAACAAACTATTCAACTTTATAAAGTACAGATATTCTCTTAAATACTTATTTAGTACACACTTGAAACATTGTTACTTTTCAAAATTTGTTTTTTTTTTAAATGATCACAACGTCAGAAAATCAAATGACTTTTTTAGCAGTTTCTTTTACCAGACTCGCTACCATTAATATGAGCACGTAACGCGAAGTTTTTGATTTGCGTCCCAGACATGTCAACATTATCTTATCTTTTTTATTTAAGTAGTAGATTTTTTTTTTAATAAAAATTATAATTGAGTAATTTCAAATAAAACAACACCTTTTTACTGATGGTGTGAATGCTTACTGCACGCCCAAGTCGAGCAATAGTACGTGGAGAGTGTGGTAAATCGTACTACAACCTCTTTGGTGACAATAGCCGACCAGTACCACTAAACACACCACCAGCCGGCTACGGTGCTTTGACAGAGCCCTGGGACCGCGTTTGTATGACTGTACCACGTCTCCAAAACAATTAAAGAACACCTAGATGTAATATTTAAGCTTTATTCAAATAAACCAATTCATAAACAGTATCATATACATTTTGGACAACCGGATAGAATTCTATAGCGGCGCTGACAGCTAACACAATGACAGTGATAAGTCTACTGATAGCACGCACCAAGTCCAGGGTCGTGGTCAGGGGGGAGCTTCTACGCAGTGAGAAGTTATCCTTTGGTGGTGTTACCTAAAACAACGAAAAAACAGGTCCCATTTTTGCTAGGCTTTGCATCTTTAACACTCTAATCGGCACATAAAAATTGTGATACAAGCGGGAATCGAATTTGCAGATCATTTTCTTTTGAAATCAGACATTTATATTGCAGTTAGGCTTAAGACGAAAATCAAACTAACTATTGTTTACGCATCGGTACTATTTGATTGTAATAACAATATAATTTGCGTTTTAATCGTTAAAAGTGTTTTATTTAAAAGTACCTTAAAAACTACGCCTGGTTCTATTTTAGATGGTTTGATATCAGCTAATGATTTTGGGCAGGGCTGCAACCAATAGAGCTGCTTTAATGAAATATATTTTATTTCTTCCCCAAAGAGATTTTAGATCGTTACTTTCTGGTTGTACTACATTTACTGCCTAGAAAATAAAATTTCATGATAACCGTCATATTATATTAATTCGTCTAATATATGATTTTCTATACTAATATTATAAAACTGAAGAGTTTGTTTGTTTTGAACGCGCTAATGTCAGGAACTACTGGTTCGGATTCAGAAATCATTTTTGTGTTGGTTATTGCATTTATCGAGAAAGGCTTCAGAGCTTAGGTTATAAAATAACACACTCAGTGGGAAAAGTGAAAGACACGGGCAAAATTATTTATGTAGAGTTTCTGTTGCGTGAGCTGCGATAACGGTTCAAGATACCCAAATAATATGTATGAAGGCATGTTTCCTCTGCAAATTTGAATATTCTGTATCCATACCACACATCATAAAACATATTCTATTGCCTATTTTATGTGATTTTGATCCAAAATAACTATTAAAAACTTGTAAAGCGTTTTGGATTTCTTTCAACAAAGAACATTTAATATACAATTCAAAATTCGAAAATAAATTTCAAAAAAAATATCGACTCGGACAGGACTTGAACTGGCATCGTCAGTGTACCGTGGTGTTGCTCTACCAATTGAGCTACCGAGTCCTACACCTCATCGTCGAATTTTTCAATTATTGATACATGCACCTCTCGCGAAAATGTTTTCAGTTTTACTTTCGAATTTTAAATTGTATAATGCCTTCATGTGCAATAACATGAAAAAAATAATAAAGTTTTCAAACATCTAATATTTATAAAGTTGTATATTGATATTGTATAAAATAAAACATTACATTACTTTTTCATTCAAAGTCTGTTCATTTTTCACATCAGCGTGGATCGGTTGCACATTGTTCGTGACAATGTCTAGGGAACCGACTGCTTCGCGTCTTTTTCTGATATTTGGAAACTAGAAAAACACAAACCCTCTTAATTCCATAATAGAATTAAATGATTAAACCCTACTTCGCTTTTTTTGTAACCGCATCTGCGTGTAATGATTATTTTGGGCATCGTATATTTTATCTGTGCAAACCTTCCTTTCTTCGTCTCGTCCTTTAAATAATAGCTGTCATATTCATATCATAATCAGTATCCCTTTCTTCTTGAGATTTAATCTCAGAAGACAGTTAAAATAATAAACTGTCGCAGACATTTTTAGATCACTTAAAAAAAAAATCTTAAACTTATTGATTTCTTGACTCGTTTTTGCAACGTAAGTAAAGGAAGCCCAATGATAAAGATGAATAGGTTTTCCCGCTTTTCCAAATTACCCTCTATTTCTTTGCTTCTATTAGTCGCGGCCTAATGTTGTAGAACCTATAGTCCCTCCCAATAAGTCCAACCAACAGAAAAATATTTTTTCAATTCCAGAACCGGTAATTCCTGAGATTAGCGCGTATAAGCAAACAAACTCTGTAGCTTTATAATATTAGTAAATATTTAAAAATATATACCCTCGATTCAAATGTTGCGGAAACAAAAGAAAATACTCCTACTAAAATTACTAACTCTATAAACTTCATTTTTAATTTATTACTCGTTTTGCGTACAACTATAAAACGTGTTTGACATTATTTCCCTAGCTATAACTAATTGAAGACCGTGACATCGTTCTTATGTAGTTATTTTGTGTGGTAAATAATATTGGTTTGTAATAAATTTAAACAACATCCAATAAAAATGATTTTAAACATTTTTATTGGAGTGTTTAAATTTATATTAAATTAAGGTTTGCAGCTGGTGAAACCAGGTCTAACAAGAAAAAATATGAAAAATGAATCCTGGCGATAAAAGAAGTGACGGCGAGTTTATTGCCAGATCTTCTCGTTTGTTCTACGCCCTTGATTTGAGAATTGGTAGTAAATGTAAAGTTAGATTCTTTAGTTTTGTGACGTTCATAAGTGTACATAATTCTGCATGAATAAATTATTTTTGACTTTGACTTTGACACTTAGAGCCCCGATACACAGAGCAAAGAGTGGGTCCAAATCCCACCATTTAATTTTGTGGAAACACATTTAAATCGTATTTATAAAAAAACAGACAGAACAATAACAATTTTACTTGTATTTATATGAAATATAAAATAACATATTTGTTTAAATTACTTTAAGTCATATAACTTTAAATTGCCAAAACAAGATTCGAGTTTACACAATGTTAGCCATTATTGTAGCACTACTCTCCATTGTTTTAGTTCACGCGCATAATGGCGTTAGTAATTTCAATTCAATTGTTATCTTTCAATGATATTTCAATTAAGAACTTTAATCAAACCATTTTTGATGCAGATAATACAAAATGAAGGTGATGAGCAATCAGCGTTAATGCCACAAGAACTGAACCCAGAATTTGTTTCAGATAAGGTTTGTCTTTTAACAACTCACACATATACATATAAAATGGGTCCGTAAATGAAATGTTTATGCGCAGGAGCATCATTGAAATATATTTTAAGATTAATATTTAGCGGTTCGGAAAAATAAATATAAATTGTAAACTAAATTTATTGGGTTTTGTAAATTATCAAGCTTTGGTTTAATTTTGAACCGAAAAAAATCCAAGAGTTTGAAAACATTAAAATTTCTTACATGTTATTGCACATGAAGGCACTATATAATTTAAAATCTAAGAGTTATATAAAATAATTAGCAAAACATCTAGGCTTTCATAGCCGTAGCTAGCTTAGCTAACAGACTTTCAATTCACCATTCAAATTGAAGTTTAAGTCGACACTTCACTCAATACCGTACGTGATTTTTGTTAGCATAGAAAAATGCAAACCGAAGGCAGTTGAAGGCAAAAAGTAGCTAAAAGTGGTTTCTGATGCGAGCTTTAATGTACTGGTAGCTAATGTAGGTAGCAAGGTAGGTAGTAGTACTAATCGTCGTGGCGTTGATTCCCACCAGGTCTAGGAATCTATAAAGCGGGCGTTGAATAAGTGGTTGTAATATCAAAGTTTAGTTTTGGTGACAAACCACCACAGATGATTGTGTAAATCTGAGGGTCTGTAGGTCTGAATATGCAAAGACAAAAAAGGTCGACAGCGTATTTTAATTAGTCGTTATAGGCCTGGGATATTTCACCTTACATCAATCGAAATCCCCAAGCATGTCTCATTTCCTCAGTCAAAAAACTAAATTTAACATTATGTAAAGAACGAACAAGGTAACTATTTACAGGACTCCCCTTACCGTGCAATATTCCCCATAAGACAGCGACGCGATTTACACGATACGACATCCCTGTACGATACGACTTCAACTATTAAATCGTATAGTCGGATCGTCGCCAGCGTCGTGCTAATTGTATCAGCTTTGATAGAAGTTGTTGTTTATATTATTGAAACATATTGGGTTATGTAAATAAATTTTGGAAGTGGTGACTCTTTATTTCTTTTCCCACTCCATGGTCCTATTATACCATACTGGCCAACAGGTTAGCAGATGACAAATTTGTCGGGCTCGTTAGTGTAATGTCGTCGGGTCGTGGGTTCGCTATTCACTGAGTCCATATTATACTAATAGATTTATAATTTTCTGAAACATATTGAACTTCGTCTGGGAATCTGGATGGGTGGTCGAAAAATATTTAAAAAGCTGTACTGACAGAACATAATTAAATATAATATAACACAATAGTAATCAGAAAAAAACAACTGAAATATAACATAAAAAATCTCTTTCGAAGTGAAATGGGAGATTTTGTAAGGTATTTTATTATAGGTATTGGCTTTTTTATCAATCTGGAGGATTATATTCTCAAACAGTTTAGCTTGACAGTACTTTGCGAAATATCAATGCAATGACGTGTTTTCAGAATTGACCTCCATCGAAGGTCGATGGTCATATTTTATCAATGGAGGAATTTGATAAAAAAACACAATCAATCTATACTAATATATAAAGCAGCTACTGAACTGAATTAAAAAAAATATTTTTGTTTTGGTTAGTTAGTTTTTATCGAGGAAGGATAAAGACTATAAAACTTTGAGCTGTGACTAATGGGCAGCGGAGAAATAGCGGTAAATGAGGAAAAAATGGGGAAAATAATTAATCTTTGTGGGTTTCCGAACCGCACGCTGCGAAAAGTTTAAGAGCCAAAAAATATGATTGGAAGGACGATTAATATGATAATAAAATAAATATCTGCGACACGATATGTCTATCTGTATGGTTAACTTGTAAGACTGATGTCGTAAGTAATAGCTTAAATTAATAATGATGAAGGAGGTTTGCAAAAACGAAATTTGACGTCAAAACTGTTCTACGCGGACGAAGTCGCTGAAAAAACTAGTGTATAGTATTTAATTTTGTATTTAAATTAATGACTCCGATTTTGATTAACAATGTAGGTATGAACTCTCACCTTATAATAGAATAACAAAGTATTATAAATACTAAAGAATGACTTATTCAGCCTAATTACCATTTGTTTAAAAAGGAATATGCTAGTCCATTCTAAGTAACGTTTCCACAGTCAGTAAGTGTATATATGTTAATTTATTCGCTTTGTGAATTAACATAACATGAGGATTGAAATGGCAATCCAGTTTTTTTATGGAAGTGATAGTACAATAGAGATGCGGTATGGCTTATGCTACCATTACTCTTTGTATTGATCAAAATATGTATATTTAAATAAAACACTTTAACGGTTTAAAACGCGATATGTTAGTTAAACTTATTTTGAAAATGATTTTTAACTTCGGCCCGACGTTTCGGATGCTTTGCAGCAGCCGTGGTCACGGGGAGACTCAAAAATCATTTTCAAATAAGTTTAACTAATATATCGCGTTTTAAACCGTTAAAGTGTTTTATTTAAATGTGTACTACTCGCGTAAACTATAGACAGTATTTAAAATATGTGTAGTTAAGAAAAATTACATCGTATAGTAGCTCATAAGCTTTAAGAATTGTTAATAATACTTAATTACTTAATTATTAACAATATAGTTATATATGTTTACGTGTTAATGAAAGCACTATTAATCTAGATTTACATTTTCAACTCGTTTAAATTTTTTGTTTTACAAAAAAAATATTTTATTTTGAAACACTATATATATATACATGCTAGCTACAAAAAGTTTCTCAGTATTGTCTATAGTTTTGGATTTCTCCCTAATGTTAACATAAAAACGCACTGTAGAGAGAAGGTACTCGATTTTATAAAATGTATCTATATAAATAATTAATTACCTATCATCAATAAATTAAATAACGAAATGTGACAATAATATCTTAATTTTAACTTAACCCAAGATAGATAATAATACGACTTGACCTTATTTTTGAAGCAAACTCGAGCTCTTCTGCAATCAGCAGACAAGTCATTACAAAGTTGTGAACTATTAAATTTTTTTTTCGCAAATTTCATGCTTTTCACATATAAAATAGCGTAATAAAATATACCATTATCTGATTCCTTACCGTTTCGAAAAGCAGTCATATAAATCAACAAATGAGTCATAATACCTGGCAGCCCTTATCCAAATATGCGTAAACTTTAATTCAGTTGAATTATGTGGAACAGTCATGGGTATCAATGGTGGACATATAAGTATGCGCGCGCGCAGGTCCGGCCACATCGGACGGCGGAGATATGAAGTGGATTGTGTTGTTGTGTGCTGTTGTGGCAATGCTGGTCTCTGTTATGGTAAGATATTACGAATGTCTTTTTTATGACATCATAAGAAGAGTCAAATCATGTCTCCATCTTCTGGTGCATGGGGCACACAATCCTGTGGTCCCTTTCACTGGTCCATTTCCTCTATAGACAAGTATTTCAGAACATATGATAATTCTTCCGGATTCAAACTCCAATCACATCAATCTCATGGAGGTGATATTTATAAACACTAAAAAATATATAAAGGTTGTATGTATGTAGGCTACATATAAAGACAATTTTAAAGAATACATGAAATTTAAACCAATGAAAGCAAAATCTACTTAATTCTACTACCAGTCATAAATATTATCTGAAATTTGAGTTGTAAGAGAGAACCACCAATACAATCTTATTTTTTTACGCCATTATAATTGTAAGGGGAGACGTTCTTATATTAGGTTCAACCGCTTCGTAACGCATTGGTCTATCTGGTTGCCTGTCTGACGCATACAAAAGCGGAAGACATAACTATTTCACATTGGAATTTAAATATTAATTTTAGCATTAAAAGCTTACGTGGATCTACTTATTTTTACCAGGGACAAGAGTACACCGACTATACTGGCAGATACGCCGAACTGGCGGCCCCAGTACCCTCACACGTCAATGTGGACGACCTCGTAGCTACCCTCAGAGCAGCAAGCCACCACACATGATCCTCCATCTGCCCCGGTTCCCTCCCACTAACAGAAATTGTATTGGATCAAAAGAGTATGTCCGCTTTGTAGGTTAAAATTGTCTATTTATTAAAGTGTGCAGCGTGCTTTTGTCGGATTTTTCTGTTTTTATTTACGGTCAGGGTTTAATTTAAGGGTGGGGGGGGGACACTAATCAAAACACACTAGCAAGGAACCGTAAGATAGTGAATCTAGTGATATTCGTTACAAACTGAGGGTTTTTACTAGAAATGAAGCAGGCCATTCTTACTAATTAATGACGTTTCGATCTAGTTGAGTCACGCTGCGATTAGGTTTCGATTCAGCGCTGATGGTATTCTCTTAATTTGACAATGCGCATCCAAAAGGTACGTCAGTGAACTGTCAAATACACGTTGGCGTCACGCAAACTTGACGCGAACATGTTTGGCGTTAGACGAGAATACCAAAACAACAAAACGTCACTGCAACTGGGCTGCTTAACTTATATTAATACGAGAATCGACCTGCTGATCTATGAAATGAAACCATTCTGTCCCTCAAAATAAATTTTCTATAACAAACGGTCCGTAAGATGTATTTATTTATTTAGATAGGTTTACCAACGTTATATTACTTACTAAACTTTACCTTACATACCACATATATTATCATATTTTTAAATAAAAAGATGACTGTAATTAAACAATTAAAGTTAAAACGAAACTTGCAATTTGAAATTTTAGTGTTACCATATGCTCATAATACAAAGATTGTTATTTCAAAAACAAAACACATCCTAATCAACATATCTGCGCCGGGAAGGGTACAGTTTTTCGTAAATCAGGTTTACATCGGATGGATGAGGTCTGGGGAATTCCCTTCTGGCTTCACGTCCTATTGGAGGGTAGTCGTAGGGTACCTGTAATCAAAAGTTGTAATTCTTTAATTCTTGGTGACATTGGTAACCTGGACAATGTATATTTTTCATTGTCAAGTTGTCTTAAGATGATAGAACATTGTCATTGTCACATCCGAATCTGGGAAGACGATATAATGTTTCAGGCAAAGTACATAAGCCCGAAATCGTTCAAAGAAATGGACGCGCGACCGTCCCATGGCTGCTCCGGGATTGCCGGGAGAAATATAAATTAAAACCACTGTTAAATTTAATTATAAACTATAGCTTTCCTCGTGCCCAGAATCCTATTATAGTACAGTACAAGAAACTCAAACTTAGATTAACCGGGGTCGAGCGGAACGCATTCGGTTGTTCAAAGACCAAACTCGGAATTCGTTCCACGTTGTCTCCAAGAATTTAATTTAACCCAAGTTTGGTTTGTCGAGTTAGCGTTGAGGTCGAGAAAATATTACCTCACAAGGATACTTAGTTAGACATTTTATTATATAATGTAAATGTTATAAATTGTATTTAAATTCTTATTATGTATAAAAAGTGAGATTCTGTTATCTCTATGTTGGGCGTTAGACACACATTTCACGAATCTATCGTATTCGGACCTAGATCCTCTCGTGTTTAACGCAACCTAAATAAAACAACAACAACAAACCCATGGTCATGTTGCAAAACATTGGTCGGAGTTAAAATTAAAAATAGTTTAACTTAATTCTATATTCCGCGTTTTATACAGTTACAAGTGTTTTAACTGTTTAAAATGTGTACTACTCGTGTAAATTACGGAATATCTTCTTTGCTTTACTAAGAAACGACACGATTAGAAGACAGAGCATTATAAATTAAAATCTAACCTGCGACTGAACGCCCGCAAACACAGCTGTAAACAAAATAAAAAAATAAACAAATTTCATCTTCCTTTTCCAGTTATGATATTGAATCAACTGTGACGCTTGGAGCTCTTCTAATTGAATTTCTCAATTTATTTTTTAATTAAGTAAAGCCAATTAACTCGATCCGCGATGCTCGCATTCCAACATTATAAATGTAAAGGGAATGTAATTCTAATGACCACTGTTGGTTTAATTGTGAAAAAGGTTGCCTAGTATTAAGCGTGAGGTATTGCAGGCTCGAATCCCGGGGAAAATATAGAGTTTTAGGTAGAGCTCAGAAACCTGATCAAACATTTATCTGCAAGTAAAAAATACATTGAAAAATCCACAATTTTGTCTGTTTCATACTCCTCACGAAGGAAATGTTATGACGCTGTATTTCAAAATTAGGCAAAACAATGTATTTCCTAAGACTTTGACAATTTTTAATTAGAGGGTAGTTACATTTTCTATGTGTAAGTATCGTACAATAGAACTGCATAAAATAGGTACAGAATTGTGTAATCTTTTCTATCAATTATGTATTTAATTTACACACACTTCGTACGGCTGTTTTGTGTGTAAAAACGAACAATATTGTAATGTGAATTTATATTCAAGAAATAAAATAAACAACAGAAAATAAAAAGATTGTAAACCACTTTTACGATATACGACCATTATTCGTCTAACAAGCTACAGCTGAAAATGTGACTGAAAATTTTGCTGATTGAAATGGCGTTACTGGTGTTAACTTTTTTATTTATGTACCCTTCACTTTTTATGGCAGCTGTGAGTCTCTTTGATATTTCAAAGTAAAGGGAATCCAAAATTATGAGGATTTAATTTATTCCGTGTGTGCAAAAATATCGTACATAACTGTAGAACGCTATATATTGCGACGGAGTACAGGCAAGCATGGGTGTCATATAATGGAAGTTCAAAGCTCCAGTTATACAACATCTATGCCAGATTTCAGCTTTTTTAGCTTTCAATTTAGTATAAGTGGCACGTAGAAAGCACGTCGATTTCAACGTAAATATAGACAAACGTATTAAATTGTACCATAAGTCATTAATTCACAAACGATTTCATGCAATATTGCAGCAAGCAAATTTGTAAATATTACAGTAGATACCTACTATGAGTATTTTTGTTCCTTGAAATTTGTTACGAACAAATTATTGCTTATTGGTTGCGTATTCGTTGGTGTTAGCAATCTATGGCTTATAATCAACGGGTCGTGGGTTCAAAAAAAGTGATGGAGGGATAAACTACCGTCCACAGATGAAAACACCGTGAAGTTTAATCGTGCTTGGGTTTTAGTCTGTGGATTTACGCATATTCAAAGCTAAAATAAGTCGAACCTCATGTTTGTCTGACCTCCACTAAATACTGTCTATAGTTTACGCGAGTAGTTCACATTTAAATAAAACACTTTAACGGTTTAAAACGCAATATATTAGTTAAACTTATTTGAAAATGATTCTTAACTTCGGTCCGACGTTTACGACCGTTTCGTCTCCCCGTGACCACGGCTGCTGCAAAGCATTCGAAACGTCGGGCCGAAGTTAAAATCATTTTCAAATAAGTTTAACTAATATATCGCGTCTTAAACCATTAAAGTGTTTTATTTAAATGTTCTCTACTATAATAAAAATGCAAGGTTTTCACAAATTTTATATCTAGAAAACCATTTATATCCACGCTTTATTAAGCTCACATACTTCCAGCCCCAACTTCCAGAAATTAACGACCAATTCGACACACAGAAACCGGAAACAGTGACGCACATTAACAAATCGAAACTGTCATATATTTCTGAAGAGTATGATATAACAGAAAAGAATAGAAGCGAGAACGCCACGAAGCCTAAACACAAAGTGACGTATTTGATTTACAGAATTTTGACGGCGCCTCTAGCGAAACTTATGTCGGAGCCTAGAGTGATGATCGTTTTGAAAAATATAGGAACGTGTATTGTTAATGGAGTGATGGAGATTATTTCTTATTACTTTCCTGCTCCGTTCATGCCGCTTATAGCAACGGCAGCTGGGATACTGATGCCGTTCGAGCCAGTAGTCACGCTGAGACGGAGGATGCCCGTGACAAGTTATAGACGGGCTTTCAAAACAGCTATAAATAGCTTCTTGAATACCTTCGATGCATACAAAGTGGATAACTTAGATGATGATCCTTATATGACTAGGAGATTTAATAGAAGATTCCTTAACTCAGATGAGAAACGAAAGTACTAAATAATGAACTAAGGTACAGCTTACTTTTAGCTCAGATATTGAATACATATGGATTTGATAAAATTCTTTCTAATTACTTTGTTAAAATTTTAAACCCTTTTTAACTGAAATAAACCTGTTTTTGATTGTACCTCTGTATGTTGATGACACTATTATATTATATCTGAAAATAAATCGACAAAGTCAAGTTGTATTGTAAATGGAATACGCTTTTAACCGTTAAAAACTTTATTCTTTACTAAAAAGGTTTTATTTAATTTATGTAATGAATTATAATTTTATACATTATGATTCCGGTTTCGGCTCTTCCAAATCCAAGTCAACTTTAGCTAACATAGTTAGAACACCAAAAAACGGACAGAAAAACGTGGTTTTCACTAGAGTACCTCCCTCTCTTAACGGTCTAGGCTTTATATTAGGAACAAATACCCGTTCTACGACTTTCTTTTTACGATTCGGTTGTTTTTTATGAGTAACAGTTTTCGTATCGTTCACTCTCATGTTGTTTTTCACATTATTTTTCCTCAAGTTAGGCTGAATTTCCATCCCTCTCCAGAAATGTCGGAAACCGTTGCTATCCATAAATATTCTATTTGTGGGAAATTCTATGTTCCGTCTTTGTTGCATTACGTCTTCGAAGTGGTCCCGAATCATGTGAACGGTCGGCTTTAGGACGTTGTATTTTTCATCTCTGAATGTAATTTCCGATATTTTCTGCAGATCCATGTGTTGTGGAAACTGGCAGTAGGATTTTTGAAACTGAAAATAAATAAATTTCTGGAACTTGTCGTTTTGTGATCTTTAACAGCTAGCAAAAACGAACATCAAGTAATATCTGTAGTTTACGCGAGTAGTACACATTTAAATAGAACACTTTTAACGGTTCAAAAGGCGTAACAAATTACTTATTTACAATTACGGCCTGACCTTTCGGATGCTTTGCAGAAACCATGGGGGATCTGTTGCTATTAAAAGTGTTTCATTTAAATAAACACTAACATTTTGATTATTTGATTGATGAGCAAAATAGTTTGTTGTGTACCTACAGAGCAACAGCACAGCCCTGCCCGTTTCGTAAATATTTTCAATCTAGATTTTTTATATGACGTAATCATGTTGTAAATGATTATAGTTTCAAATACTTTTCATGGGAATATGAAATTCTTAACATAAAGACGTCCAGCTACAAATGTATCCACAGAATCTACGTGCTAAAGGGGCCTTTGTATTGTAAATAAGATTCTCAGAGTATACATTTTCCAAGAATTTATGATTGAATCGAAATTAGTAGGACTTACGAAATTAATAATCGAAATGACGATAAACACGTGCATGTCGAATTAAATTCACAATCGATTGTAACGGTTGACTCATGTTGTTCGATATTAATGCACGATTCGAATTATCGGAAATTAAAAAACTTAACATGATGAACTTATAACTTAGAGATTGTATTTCTTCTTCGTTCATCTTTCTCTTTTGATGGAGGAGGACATATGGTGAAACCCAGCCATATAACTATCTAAACGAGTCTGTCGTCCTATTTTGGCTTTGGATACTCGGAAATGGATAGACTAACACCGAAACGCGATCAAATTTCACTATTTTATCTGTGGACGGTGGTTCGTGACGCGGACAGAATATCGATATTCCTAGCACACATTTATAATCCAGATTTCCAGACGAAGTTCAACATGTTTCTGAAACGTTATAGAAGTTGGTGTATAATGGTAGCAATGTATGACTAATAATCAACGGGTCGTGGATTCGAACCCCACCGGGACCAATAATTTTCTATTCATTTAATAATTTTTCTGAAGCGTGTTGAAATTCGTCTGGAAATTTAGATATTGATCGGGTGATAACATTATCGAAACTTTGACCAAGTCAACCATCGGCCATAGATTAAAAAGCCGTGAAGTTTTGGTTTTAGTCTGTGTATCCCCGAATATCCAAATCCAAAATACGTCGACTGTGCATCTGGTTGAGTGCGTACCCAATGCTTGTTTGTCCTCTTCTACTCGTATTAGAAAGGGACAAAACATATGTAAATTTATAGCAACAGAAAATAAAAACAACTGTGTTTAATTGAATAATAATAATTTATTAATCACCAAGTCATAATAGTTTGGTTGCTAGAAAAAATAAAAAAACTCTAAAAAGGCGTTTTATAATATTTTGGTTAGGGTAGTACATACGTGCAAATCTTATCATGCCTCTAGGAAGTTAATTTTAAAGGCTTCTATACACTTATTTGTTTCTAAACAACGAGTTAATTTTAAAAGTGTATACACAGCCTAAGACCATACTTATATGTTTACCACGAAAATAAGTTAAATAGGAAAAGATTATTCTGTTTAGTTAAAAATCTAGCTTATCTTCGTGGCATCACGAAAAAACCCATTTCGTATATAAATGAAATAATGCAGTTTTGACTAGTTAATTGGTGGATATGTCATTTCAATACCTAAGTCTGGGGGAACTATTCTATTATTACAATTATATTACTAACACATAAGAACATTATTAGACCAGTTTGAGCTGCCAAAAGTTGCAAAAATGTCTGTAGTGCTGCACGAAACTAATATACAGTAGAATACCGCACATCCGAAATCCGATTAACCGAATAGTAGAAGTTAAACCAAGTAATTTTTAATAACCTCAAGTTTAGACAATAGCCCATAGAAGGCCAGTGTGTTTTAAATTCTTCTTTATTGCTACTTATAACGATATTTATAGCCTTTGAAGTACATAAAACTCTATTAATATTATTGATTCAAAGTCAGTGTGACTTTGCGTGACATCATTTGTGGTTATATTCGCAGTTTATGGGAAATACGTACTCATCGATTGCCCACAAATGACGTGACGCACTGTGATTGGTGTTTCACTACAGATGAAATATATAATATATATATAGTATTTCTTTTTTTAAATTTAAAAACATACATATTTGCACATAAATCATGATATTACTCGATAAATATTTTTATGATCAGAATTTAAGATTATAATTTCATTTACTGGCAAAGTTGATACTCGCTGGAGTCCTATTATAGGATATTTGTTTGAGAACACTTGTACTGTTCGTTTCTTAATATTTTACTTTTATATCGAACTAACTTCGAACCGAATAATTCGGATAGTCGGCGTTCTACTGTACATTTCTATATCTTATGGTACAAACACAAATAAAGAGTAATTCATAAACTATTTTAGTCAATTTGTAGAATTAATTATATAACATAATATCGAGAGGACACCGGTAAAATTCAAAGTACAACCAAATATTGTTGAGTCAAACACTATATACAAAGATGTCGGTAAGCCTTAAAATATGATATCACTAGTATGGATAGCAAAACTCTGGCGGAACCAGCTTAATCCCTTCTTCTGAATACGTTATCTTTTGAGTTCCACCATAAGCAGCACTATACAGCTATTAAAACTAAACTCAGTCCTTATTTTTTTTGCCGACGGTATAGGAAAGTACGTTTTAAAACAGTACGTAAAAACGCAAAAAAAACTGACAGGACTTTAAGTATTGTGTAAACAATATAGTCTTTGTTATTCTTATTTTTGATACGTCAGGAGTAGTCAACTTATCTCTATGATAAAGCAGAACAGACAAGCACAGGGATCACTCGATTGAAGGTGATATACCCCAGCTATATAACATCTCAACAAGATGGCGCTGTCGACCAATTTTGGGTTGTAAACATGAGGGGGCGGGGAGCGTAAGAGCTACTACTGCTGACAAGGGAAATAGCAATAATAATAAATTAACTTACGTAATACTGAATATGATGGCAAAAAATGAATTGATTCAAAGAAACGTAGTTTCCCGCACGTCGGTCCCGAAACGAAAATTGCACTTTAGTTATTATACTTTAATAAGATCGTTAGTGTAAGCTCATTTCATAAAAACAAACGTCAAGTGAATATCGTCGAATTAATATTTACAGTACTTTAGACATTATACCGATATTATAAAGATGATTGTGTAATACATTAAATGACGTTAAATTAATAAGAACTAAAATATCGTAAGATGACTAATAGCTAATTGTTCTTCTCACGACCTTGCTATATCAATTTAGGCCTTATCTATTACGGCTAAATGTTCAATGTCTAGTACATTGTTTTAAAACTGCCTTTGTGCCTCAAATATATTTAGATTTTTTATAAGGTCTTATGCACAACACGTACACACGTATTTTAAAAGTGTCATTTGGCACATCTCATAGTTATACTAAATAACAAAACATCGGTATAATGTACCAAAATATTTACACTATTTTCATTGCAAATGTCGAAAGTTACAAATATAAGTGATTACGAAAAATATAGTCTATCCGAACAGCTATTAAGTAGTTATATTATATACGATAGCGTTTATGAAAATATATTATTTACAAAGTTAAGTGTACTTAGTATTACAATACTGAGAAAACTGGAAAATTGTAATTAAATTAATTTAGGTGCAAAATAATGTTAAGAAATGTTAATTACAAGGTGTATTTGAATAATCTTCAATAGTTTTTCATATTCTCTTATTCTAGAGCTTGAGGATTGGGCTCTTTACAGCTCGTTATAAATAATAGGAACGCCAAAAGTAAACGTTTAAGTCCGCCAATCTGCAGGCCGATTCTCGTATTAATTTGAGCAGCAGCGCAGTTGCAGTGACGTTTTCTTGTTTTCGTATTCTCGTCTAACGTCAAACACGTCCGCGTCAAGTTTACGTGACGCCAGCGTGTTTTTGACAGTTTGACATTTGACAGTTCGCTGGCAAGGTACGCCATTTGATGCGCAGTTGTCAAATTAAGAGAATTCCATCGGCGCCGAATCGAAACCTAATAGCAGCGTGACTGCAACTTGATCGAAACGTCATTAAATTAGTAGAATCGGTCTGCTGTAGTGGACCAGAGTGATGGGGCGAAACTTGTAAGCCCTCTGTAAAGACAGCTGTAGGTCACTATGTTATCATTAATCATAGTTTATACTATGGTTAGTTGGGCGATAATTAGCTATTATTTTATAACATTTTGTAAAGAGCTTCATGGTTATAATTGTCATAAATTTGATGAGAATTGGTTGGTTAATACCAACAATTTGCATAGTTACGTTTCTTATTTTTAAATAGGTCTGCGATATCAAGTCGATATTGTTCGGTGTTAGTCCCCAGAAACACAGTTTTAGGATGTCTTATACTCCGTATTATAATATTTACTTTTCATCTTTCGTAACAGACCTACTTTATTTAATTTATGTTGAATTATAATTTAAAATTTCGCTAAATATACAAACTCTAGTGTAAACACTGTTATAATTTTCATTTGCTAAATACATCAACAAGACTATGCGATAAAATATACTTGATACATTTATGAAGGTACAGTACATTGCTTTTTGTAAAAATTGAAATAGACAATCAGCCATAACCATCTCCAACCAACAACACAACTAATCGTCAACAACTAAACCGTCAAATGTGGCGCCATCTATGTACATTCTTGACAAATTTGTTTTTTGAAAGAGTGAGCGAGTATACATTATTCGCTAGCTTCGTGCCAATTTTAAAACAAAACCTTTGGTCTCCCGTGCTTATAACAATCAGAGACCACACATGTTATATGTATCTAGAATTTCGTTCTTTGTTAATATATAATATTTAGTCGTCTTTGCTATCCTTATTATTTCATCATAGGGCAAAAAGCACTGAGTGTATTCGTTTAGTTGATGTTATTACGGCCACATTAAATAAACATAAAAGTTAGAGCGTTATGTTAATAGAAAATTTATGAATTCTAGCAAATATAGAACCTAGGTCTTTAAATAAATAAAGATCACTCAAAACCTAACATCACATGTTATTTATTGCAACAGTCTCTCTAATGCGATAGATCTAATTGTATTGTTGGCTGAAGATTCACTTAGGGTTGTTCCAATATTTTGTATCGCTTTATAGGTTCGATACGATATTATTATCGTCTTTCATGTTCGTGTCCATTTTATTAACGTAATTTGAGAATTAACCACAGACTATATATTTTCCGACTTCAACTAACCGAGAGGAACACGACAAATGTAAGCAACTCTCAATCAAGGGTTTATTTACGTCGACATATGTCGCCAATTATGTCACATTTGAAACGAGTGAAGTCGACGTTGATATCACTTCTTTGAGAATTACCCCCTGTTCCATACATCTAAGAGTAGGGACTTACGAAAGCTCAATAAGACAGCTAAGTCTAGATCATTGTTACTATGACTATCTAGCATTTATTCTGCACCTTCGTACCAAACTCGTGCAAAATATCGCACGCCATTTCCAAGTCGTTCCGGGTGATGCCCAATGCTCGCACGACTATGTCCTTTGGGTAGCCCTCGCCAACTAACCGAGCGATGTAATCGAGATTAATGTTTTCATACGATACATTATCGTTGTACTTCCTTCCGTGTTTGTCGTGGGTGAGGGGGTTGATTTTTTTTAGCTGGAAATTAATAGGATGTGATAAACATTATGTTCAAAAAACAAGTATATTTGATACATTTTTAAATGTATCATATAATTGTTATTTTGAAAAATATAAACTTTATATTACAAACCTATTATACATATCCGCCGCTGTAGCTAAATGGCAAAACGTGTTGCCTAGCATTGCATTGAGGGTGGGCGGGGGATGGGGGAAACAATTTTTTCAGTCGGGTGAGGAAAAGAAAACTGATCAACTACTTGCCTATAAATAAAGCCGAACAGTGAAACGGACACAAAAATATGACCGCCTCTAGTCTTACGAGCGGGAAACGGGGTTTAACTTTTATTTTGAACACTTTAATAGCATTTGTAGCTTAATGGTTACGCAGCAAGAAAGGTCCTTGGTTTAAATTCCAGCTGAAAGGTAAATTATTTTGTAATTATTTGATTCTTAAGAGACTTACGCGCAACAGCCAGTTCGTTCTTCTCATTCCCAACGTTTTCATACGGCGGGTCTTTCACGTCTTCTGAAGGAAATTTAGGCATGGTCGTCGACTTGGTGGGCTGGTGGTCAACGCTGGTGGTTGTTGGTAGCGACCTCTGTCGCGGCGGCGCTCTGTTGTGTTCTCTATCGAAACTTACTCTGTCATGTATTCGATCTGTAAAGATAAAAGGAAAGTTAGTTTTTACGATTTAGAATATATTATTGTATGGGCGGCGATAGAAGTTAAAGATAACGTCTCTATATCATTAATAGTATTGTTAAGTCTATATATACCGTTGTTTTGACACTTGAAGTTGTATTTTTCACATTTCAATAACTCAAACCATTTATTTCACAAGACACATTAATTCAAATGAACCGAAATATAAGCCTAATAACTCCATAAAATATACCCCATTAATAACTTAAAAAACAAAAAAAGGAGAATCGGTTTTTGGGTAATCCTGCAGAGGAGTGACCAAGAACTACAAACTATATTCACATATACATATATAACAAGAAACAAATTTGTTCAATTAGTTTTCCAATAAAATCAGATATATAATTTAATTGAATATAATTTGCAATCATTTTCTATGTCGAATAAGAAAAGTATTTAACATAGAAAAATATTGTATTTGATGTAAGCACCCGAGCCCTAATATTCAATTAAGATGCACTCATATTTACTAGTAATGACACATCCTAAAAAAGCGACTCATTCAGCGAATATTCCATCTGTGGACGGTGGATCGTAATCCGAACGGGAAGTCGATGTTTCACTAACCAAATAGTGACAAGATTTTCCAGACATTATATTAAATTTTTTTACATGTTTAAGAAACCAGTAAATGATATTTTATGTATTCCAAGAAGACATACCAGGTTTATCAGGTCGTTCCGGTGGCCTCATCTCCAAATTATGTCTATCGAGAACTCGATTCTCTGAATTCGATCTTTCCGTCCTCTCTATTCGATTGTCCAATCGATTATCAAGTCGATCAATGAAGCCGGCGTTTGTATGTCTCTCGGGTTCTTGCCTTTCAGGGGGTGGGGCTGGTAGAGGCCGACTGTTCGATTGTGGGGTGCATGCTCTTCTTGGCTTCTCGAAAGCTCGGGGGTCGGGTGGTATCTATAAGAAAAACAATTGCAATCAAAACAAATACGAACGTAATTAAGATATAGTCTTATTCAATACTCTCTGTAGTTTACGAGGGTAGTACACGTTTAAATAAAACACTTAGAGTTAAAGTTTTTTACGTCGACATTAAACACCTTCCAATTTAGCCTCCCCGTGAATACTGCAAAGCATCCGAAACGTCGAACCGTTGGTAAAATAATTTGTAAAGTTCAACTTATACATTTCGCGTTTTAGACCGTCAAAGTGTTTTATTTAAAAGTCTTATTCAAATTACGTTACTTTGAAATTTTAAAATTGTTTTTTTTATTTTTAGAATTAAAAAAACAATATTAAAACAAGATTCTGTTCTGTTATCCATAAGGCAAACAATACTAATACTCAAACCATTTATTTCACAAGGCACATACAACAATACGAACTTAAATATTAGTTTAATAACTGCAGACAATATGCGTAAATAAATTTAAGAAAGAGAAAGAAATAGACTTAGAAGAGTGCTCATGAAATGGGGAAAGCACAATATGGTTATATAAATAATTTCCGACTTTAAAATAATTTTATAAGTAACAATACAATAATGATTAGTAAATCTATAAGGAATATAAAGGAAATACATGTTGTAAACCGTCTATGATAGAAGATGTTTGAAAACTAAATATTAAATATATGAGTTATGACATTTAACTCTACTTACTACTTCATGTCTTGTGTCAATAATTCCTGTGATCGTTTCAGTGGAGCCAGTTATCACCGAGGTTAGCTTATGCCTCGAATCCGGTTCTGGTTCCAACGATGAACGTCTCCTTGGGTCTGGAACTAAGAGAAATGAGAGTTTTTATTAATATTATAGTAACCACGGATGCGGCACGGCATCCGAAATGTTGGGCCGTAGATAAAAAATACTACTTAACTAATGGCTGTATATTTGCTTTTGGATATTTCGGCCAAGGTAACCCGTTAAAGTGTTTTATGTTAAAATTTGTATTGTTGTTAATTGAATACTTAGAAAATAAAGTAATTAATTAATTTATATTACGGGATGCTGTGGTATACCGTTATCATTTACAACTAAATCCAAATAGATTAAATTCAACTGAACAATAACGTAACAAGGTTGTACTGTAAAATACTGCCTGTGGTTCACCGGCAAAGCACTTGAATAACGCTGCATCGGTTTAACACGCGAAACGTCGGGCCGTAGTTAGAAATGTTTGGCGTAAAGAAAGTAATGTATTTCGCGTTTTAAACCGTTAAAGTGTTCTTTGACTTGTCTCGCTTCAACTCTAGCTTTCAAGATATTTTACTTGGGATACCGTTTCATTAACTACTAATATATTTTTCCATATTATGTAGTACTTACTTATAGAGCTAGCTGCTGCTATGTCTTGAACGCTGGAAGCAGCAACTATGGTTTCCGCGGGAGATAGGCTCTTCCGGGGGGGTAATGGTGGTGCCCGTAGTTCTCCATAAGCATTTTCAGCTGGTGCAGGCGCCTTCCGAGCTGCTCGTGGCGAATGTCTTGGAGAAGCACCAGCAGATCTCACCCCTGGTCGTAGCGCATCTATCGTGGATGTTGCTGCATTGAATTCGGCCCAATCCTGGAAACAGTGTCCCTCTTATCAGTCTTTAAACTTTTCTTACAGAAGGAAATAATTTGTTTTATCGTGAAAAAAAAATTCCCATTCCCTAAGAATAAAGCAATTTTTAACAAACACTATCCGACTTACAAAAAAAAGCAAAAAAAAAATTTACTTCGCACAAAGTAATACGTCATTAGCCGCCTTTATTTATTAAAATTAAACATTAACGATTTAAACGCGAAATATATTAGTTAAACATATTTGAAAATTATTTTAACTACGAGCCGACGTTTCGTCTGCTGAAAATAACTTTTATCATTTAATATTTCGCATTTCAAACAGTTCGTGTTTTATTTAAATGTGTACTACTCGACTTTTGATTAAAGTCTGTTTAAGTTATAAAAATTTTAAAAGCGGTTATCGAACTCCCGTACAGTACAGTTACAATAGAATCCACGCATTTGTGATTTATTTTTCTAGCTACCAAAAAAACTTTTACTGGTACTTAAGTTTGTGTTAGTTCAGGGTCGCAAATAATATAACTATATTTTAATTGCACTGTGAACTTTAAAATTATATTATCTTGCAAATGGCCTTTACTTAAACTGACTCACAGTCTTATCTATACTAATATATAAAGCTGAAGAGTTTGTTTGTTTGAACGCGCTAATCTCAGGAACTGCGCTGTGACTAATAGAAGTGAAGATACAGCGAAAAATATGAACAAAACCGGGGAATCCCGGGGAATCTCTCTGGGTTTCAGATGCCAACGCTGCGACAAAGGTTTAAGTTACCTAAAAAAATTGTATGAGAGAATGATTCCTCTTTAAATGATTAAACAAAAGTTCGAGACGCTATATATCCACCTTTTAAGACTAACTACTTGCAAGAACGAAGGGAAGGAACGCGAGCGATGTCGCTGCTAACAGCTGAAGTTTATAAAGATGACGGGGTTCGCAAAAACTAATTTGGATGCCCAAATTAACGGTTCTCGCGGACGAAGTCGCTGGCACAGCTAGTTTGCATACGTTGTCTTTCATGCATTTTATAAAAAAATCGAATAATTAAATAAAACGAACACTCACATTAAAAATAATAAAAGTACAAAAGCTTTTAAAGAAAACGAAAAACACATATCACCCAAGCGTATATTTTCAACATTCCAATTGGTCTTAAATAAAAAATTAGGATAAAAATATAAGTTATACTAAATATGACAATCTTATGTAAAATATCCTTATTTAGGCGAAAGTAATAGTTTATTTGTTCGTTACAAGCACTCCTAACATTTCTCTTGCATGGCTAAGTTTAGACCCACCAGTGCTGAATCCACCATTCACCTTTACTGTGCCATTAAATTAATGTTAATAGAGGCACGGGGATAACACATCCTACTTCGGACTGTTCTAGATCTTAGCAATTTAAAGTAGCATTACACTCTCCGCGAATTGAATCCGTGACTGGGTCATGTGTGGTCGAGTGTAAAATCGAAAAAAATATGATTTTGTAACATATTGTTTTGAAAAGTTGTCTGGTCCTGTTTTTTTATCTATATTTTTTATAGGGGAAGACAGGCAAGCATGGGGCCCACTTGATGGAACTACCCCAGCTATACACCTCAAAAAGATGTGCTGTCGATCTTTTTTTGGATTTGGATATTCTGGAGTTCAGACTAAACCCGAAACGCGATTAAACTTCACGGCTATTTCATTTTGTGGACAGTGTTTCGTAACCCGGATGGAATTTCGATATTCCTTCAACCAATTTAGTATCCAGATTTCTAGATAGTCTAACATGTTTTAGAAAAATTATGAATTGTTTAGACAAATTTTGGACCCATTGGGGATCGAACTTTGTTACCTTTAGACCAATGAGAGATTATAAAAAGATTTAAATGCGAATTTTTTATGTACATCAATATATTTTACCTTAAACATTTACGCAATGTAAAAATTTAACTCAACAATGTCTTATCTTACCAATAAATAATCCGCTAGATACTTACATCTAGTGTTTAAAACTTTAAACGAAATCTTAAAATTAAATTAAATTAATTAAGTACATCGACAATTTAATACAGTTCCATTAAAAGTCAAAAAAAGAAAATCTATCTTACAAGGGACAACACACATTTATTCGCACCGCATTCGGAACTGACGAAATTGGTGGATTTTTAATTTAAAGGTTTAAAAGAAAACTCCGTTCATTCTTATGCCAAAGACTTAAGTGAGGTATTTAAAAATATTTATTTCAGTTTAGTTTTTCAGTTAGGCTAAACAATTGTTAAAGTTTATCTCACCATATTTTGTAAATAGTTTTGGATTTTATTACTAAATAATGGAGTTGGTTCCTAGTTACGGAAACAATATTACAATCGGAGTGGAACTGGAATAAACATTCTGATTCCAATTGGAATTCAGAAAAATTAAGAATTGCTGTAAAGTGAATAAAAGCACTATGTTAATTTTATATGGCTAGTGGTAAAAAAATAGGTCTATCCAATACATACTGTTCAACGCCGAAATATACGATTTTTCTAATCGAGCTTTAAAAAAAACGATAAAAGAAGTACTTTTCCCATATGATAAGTCAGCTAAGATATAAAAAAAAAACATGCAACATTCCAAATTAAAACGACACGATGCGGTGCGAATGAATATGTTGAGTCCCAATTTAACATAAATGCATCAAAATAAAATGTACAACTCATTGCCACTCACATACAATCTAATCCACATGTACTGTTGTTTGTATTTGTGTTAGAAATCTTTGAGGAACCCTATACAAATATAAAGCTTAAATAGAACATTTTAAACGGGGAGATATACTCTAACTTGTTTAATTAAGACCTTTCGAACCCGGCTGCTGAAAAGCATCGGAAACATCGGGTCGTAATTAATATAAAGCTTAAATAAAACATTTTAAACGGTTTAAAACGCGGAAAATTCTTTAACTTCAAATTTAGACCTTTCGAACCCGGCTGCTGCAAAGCGTCCGAAACATCGAATCGTAATTAAAATAAGTTATCTCATAAATTTCGCGTTTTAAGCCGTTAAAAGTGTTCCTGTTCCAAATGGAAACAACAGTACAGTGTTATAACGTTAATGATTTCATTTACGTCATGAAGCTTCCATATTTTTTTAAAGCAAGTCAGTAATTATTCTTTTAATAAGTATTTAATCCTATGCAGCTTCTAGTCGTAACACAATGAAATAATGGACAAGACGATGATGTATCGCGTGCAAGCTACACATGCGGCGGTTTTCTCTCGCGCCTCTGCGAACACAAATATTAGACACATTAATATGCATACGAAAGACATGCAAACAACCAAAAATATACTATAAAAAAAAAATAAACCATCTAATTATTATATCAAACAAAAATGCAATCTATTTAATAGCTGCCTTACTTATAAACAAATTAATTGAGGGTAGAACAAATAAAATAAATAAAAAAACAGCGAATCAAATCCATCCGGTAAACTACGACCCGACAGTGACCGCGGTTACACACATTAATAAATCTATGACAGAAATTAAAATCTGGTTTTAACCAGTTGTAATCAACATGTTACAGATCTTTATGTCTCTTTCTTTTACATTGCAAATTAAATATAAAACTGACGTGTACGAAAGCTTTTATAAATAAGGCAGTATAAAAACGGCGAAAGACATTCAATATCATGCTAGACAAACATTACATGCTTATGCTAAGTGCTAGAAATCTATAATCTAGATTATCAAAGTTAAGAATACCTCAGAATCGTCAATGTCGTCTATAAACCCGTTGAACGTCGTGTTTCTCGTTGACCAGCCGTTCGCGTTGTTTGTGGTGGGCGTTTCGGAACCTGGAAGAAATAAGATAAGATTTCATGTTGTATAGTTTATTATGGGTATTGTTTCCACTAGATACAACAGTATTAGTATTTTTTTACTGGGGACACCAATTGAAGCTCGGTTCCACAACATTTGCTAACTGTTTCCCCTCTAGTATTGGGTTTTAAATTGAAGGAAATATCCGAGCCATTTAAAAGTTCAACCAGATGCACTGTTGACCTATAATTACTACTTATTTATTACTTTGAATTTTTGAAATTACACAGACTGAAATTGAAACGAGATGAAATTCGATTTGATTTTCCAAACGTGTTTCAGAAAAATTATTGTTCAGAATAAATTGTTCAAAACAGTTGGACCTCATGGGGATCAAACCTCCGATCCGCAGGAATAGGTAAATACTAACTCGACCCATTACACGCTGACGATCCTGAGGAACCACTGGACCCGGATGAGTTTGAAGAAACCGGTCGAACGGCTGTCTTCGTGTTGGCTAACCTGAAACATTAATTTCAGTTTACATAAAAAATATTTTTTTTCAAACATCACTTGCTTGCAATTCAACGGGTAAATACTGTTGAAAACTTAGTTGTACATAAGGCAACAACACATCGGTTTCATACATACTTAACATCTGAAGTAGTGTTAGGCGGTCTTGGAGGTATGAAGGCATCGACCACAACTTGTTCGGTGCCCTTGATCTCTGCCCGGCAGAACGGACAGCCTTGTCCCTCCGAGTCCTTGAAATTAGATTTGACAATTGATGTACTTAAACTCTATTGACCAGAGGTGGTTCTAATAATATCTTATAATTCATACTTTTCCAATGGTTTAAATCACTAATATTAGTAGATAGACTTTTAGTACTTGGTAAAAGAACCTAAAAATATTTTTTTGTCAATAGTATTTTCAAAAACTAACCGAACTTTACTGAACATACTCACTCTCTAACTCTGCTTTGTAATTTTTAAAAAATCAACTGATCTATAGTTCTCGTTACAAACCGTTAAAACCGTTTTATTTAACTTCTGGCATTTGGATAAGTTTTTGAGTTTACTGATAGCTTCATTTATTTAGCAAGGTTGGACTTTAATCTCTCTGAAAACACTTTTAACGGTTTGAAACTCGAAATATAAATTTTTTTAATTTTAATTTAACTACCGTTCGTCAGCGGTTCGATATGACTTTAAAAGTTATGTATGTAACTAAGAATTATGTAATATAAAACTACTTACAATTTGCCAAGCTGTCAAACAGGGCGTACACAGTAGATGGCCGCATGGTTCTATCCTAATGTCTTTGTCATTCTCCGCGCATATTTTACACAATTGAAACGTGCTTCCTGTAAAGTACATTATTATTTTTTATGATTGAGAAAGACTTACAATCGTGGGTTAACGAAAGTAAAATACTCCAGCCCATATAAAATCTCAGGAAGATGTGAGTCGACCTATTTTCAGCCTTGGGTATTCGGGAAACGAAACACAATTTAAGTTAACGGCTTTCTGTCTGTGACCCGGACTGAATTTCGATATTATCTGTTACTACCCCCCATTTCCAGACAAAATCCAAGATGTCAGAAAATCGTGTGGGACCCGGTGGGGCTCGAACCCGTTGATTATTAAGCCTAGATCGCACTATTATACCATTGTGAGAGTAAAAGTCAAAAGAATCATCACAAATTCGGTGGCGGTAGTTTAAAAACTCGATTTTTGCGCTTTATACAGCAATTTGAATCATGATTTACGAAAATGCACTTTACCCATTTCACAATAGAGCTCGTATTGTTCTTGAGTCACAGTTATGTGGTCCTCCGCTGGTGATATGATGGCGCTACTCAAATCTGGGTTCACATCGCGACCGTCAGGATACAAGTAGCTGGAAGAGAAATGTTTATAACATCAAAGGAGGACAAACACATATAGTTTGAAAGCTTTATTATTTTTGGTTAGAACAACAGCACGGAACGCTGTAGACGCCCTTTCGTATTTTATAAATTCTAAAATTGATTTTCAATTCATCATAAGCATAAAAAATAACCTGGTTCAGTAGGTTTGATTTCTTGGATTTATATAGACCATTTTTAGGTTGGAGGAAATTATGTGTAACCATAAAAATCTGATACTGCAGCAGTCATGGTCACGTGGGAGCCCCGTTAACTAATATGTTTCGATTTTGCAGCCTTTAAAAGTGTTCTATTTAAACGGAAACTTACAATCCCTCTCTATACCCATCTAGCAGCGCTTGAACTAAGCTCTTGTTCTGTGGTATAGTCTGTAGTATTTCGCCATCCACAGTCACGTAACCAATAGCCCACTGGCCGAGTCGCGTACACGATAACCTGGAAGTATTAATCGGTTATCAAGCTATAGTTCACAGCGTCGTGTTTGGCCAAAATGGAAAACAAATAACAGATTACAAAATTACGTATTATTAATACTTTTCTTTACTATTTTTCATGCAATATTCTCCACGGGTTGCATTATACTATATTTGTAATTGGATGACACGAATTTAATCAAAAAAACATTTAATTCTTCTCAATTTGTGCTACTTTTTAATTCTATAATTGCATTGTGAAAAAATAAGAAATATAATTGATAGATATGAATAATACATAGCCCTTAAGGTAAATAAGTATAATTAAAAAAATAGCACTGTACGCTACTGGCCGTGGGATGTATCATATTTTTTAAAAATATCTTTATTTTATTAGTGGTGTGGGCAATATTTTTTTTTAACATAAGAGAGTGTATAGAAATTAATTAGTCTTAGGCACTGCATCTTGCATGGGACAGCGTATGGTTCAAGAAGCAATCATCCATTAATAGGAGACGAGAATTTAACCTCCATTGCTATAGAGGGGGTGGACTGTCATACCTGAAAACATAGCTGCCGGCCTTATGTATGTACTTCTGCAATCTGGCTTTGACCTCGTCGTATGTGAGGAACGCGACATATCCCGGATGCGTAACCGCGAGTAGCTGCCAATTCCGTAGGAGCGTGCTCCACGGCTGGAATAGCCTGCAATTGGTTTAAGATATTGTAAGTTTATATTATTAATGTTACTAGTGCAAATTTATTTATATTATTATTAATTTAAATTTATTGTCCACTTGTAGTCCGAAATAGGCATTACAGGTTTAACTAACGCAATTAGATGGTATGAGAGTTGGTTAGTTTGTTAATAGGCGATATTTTAAATAATTCAAAAAATCAGTAACTACTTGAAACTTCAAAGCTACAGGTGATTGCAAATAATAGCTTTCTGTAAACTCGTATTACAGATCTATTATTAGTTAATTAAATTATTGTATAGCTTAGTATACAGAATTAGAAAGTAATTTTTCTCCCCTGAAGGCATGGGGGCAAGCACATTTTTGTCTGTTTCAATGATCAGTTCTTTTACAAGCAATTAGTAGATCAGACTTCTGAACCCTGCATGACCGAAACAATCTATTGTTTCCCCGAAATTCGAACCCATCTCTCTCGCGTTTAGCTACAGAGGCGGTCGACTAGATAAAAAGTATATCTTATAAAAATAAAGGACCTAAGAATAAAAAAACTTTTAACTAACTCTTAAATAAGTGAAAAAAAAAATTACCGCGTGAATACATCGAACTCAAAGTTCGATATGAAGTCGTTACATGTGAGATCTATTGTGGTCTTGAGTGCCATTGTCTCCAGTCCCGACGATATTGGGTGTACGTTGTTCAGCTCCTCGCGGAAAATTTTCCAAGGCACCAACGTACTGTAAAAAAGGGAAGGAGCAATTAAAATTGATATATTTGAAAATCATTCACACGACTGAAGTTCGAACCCATAGCAAATTACAGAAAGAAATCGATGTATTATACTGTTCTTAAAAGATCTGGTGCTTTCCGTCCTTTTCTGTCTTCCTCTATCATAAGGATAAGGTTTTTCTTTTTTCTTTTCTTTCCAATCTAATCAAATACGAAACTTAGGGCTTCATTGGTACCCGTTTTTCTCAGAATATCTATTTCTAACTCGGTAAGTTATCAACTTAATATAAATTATACCAGTTTTCAAGCAAAAACTACAACACGCTATAAATGTACACTGTGTGTTAAAATTGGCACACTTAAAACTAGTCTCTGAGAGTAGCCATTATCTATAATCAATTAGTTTTTGTTCAACCTATAATTACGTTACAACTTAAAAATAAATAAATGAAGTAGAAAGAGTTTATTTTTATTGAAAATAAAAGCCGATAACACAAGCGAAATTTGAACTTCAAAGATAGAACCACACTGTTTTAAAATTATAGGTAAGAACTATTTTGATATTAAGTTTTAGATTCTTATGATTGTTTATTTCATATGACTAAAAATGCGAAAGCTTTTCTAAGATAGAGTGTAATATAACAGTTCAATATAACAATACAACTAATGGAATATGTCTGTAACGAGCACGAGGATCCACTCATCCATGAAAATCAAGGTATTTACAGAGCTCAAACATTACCCGGTCCATATTCGAGACAGAAAGAGGTTTCGTATGTTTGTTGAGTAGATAATATTTAATAATTATACATAAAATCCTAATCGAAATTGTAACAGGTAGCAAAGTAAAATTATTATTATATATGTAATTGATGGTAGATACTTAAACATACGCGTTTCTTTCACAGAGGGTTGCAATATGGGCGACAAATAGTATATTTATACAAATATTGTACTTTTATCAACAATCTGAAGTTAACATAGAAACATTAAACACTGTCTGTAGTTTACGCGAGTCGTACACATTTAAATAAAACACTTTAACGGTTTAAAACGTGATATATTTTAGTTAAACTTGTTTGAAATTATTTTTTTGGTTGCTTTGCGGGGAGACAAAAACATTCGTAACAAAATGACAAGGGTTACTTCGTTGGTGTCAAAATTATTGTTTTTCTGTCCTATATATTATATACTTTAACAGTATTTTGAACGCAGATTTGAAATATAGCACAAAAGTAGGTATATATTGCAGTACGGTTGTCAGAGCTTAGCTCCGGAATTCCAATCTAGGGCATCTTTTACTTCTACAATAAAACAATACATAGAAGGGGAAAAGTCGGGAGTTAGCAAGTTAATCGCCTACATAAAATCGATAAGTAAATCATATACACCATTGTTGCGTCACAATAAAATGAATGTCCCATACCCCACGCACGGGAAACCGGATTTCGTTCACCCCTGTTTAATTAGAACGGAAGCCACATCCGGCTCAAAATCAATTTTACCGCGATACGCAAATGACATCAGACGATAAACGATTTTCACGTTATCAAAGTGAAATTATTGATAAAGATTCGGTAAAAAAATTAAGCACCAATATAATAATATTCATAAATCATTATATGAGATAGTATATTTCTTTTTACTGAGTAACAAGAGTTAACATACAGCTAATGTTATACTGGGGCTTTTAAATTTTTTAAGTCCCGTTTTCCTTATGTGCTGCCCTGGCGCAGACACACTTCTATGTCCTGTCTGAAACGATAATGTTTCTACGAGTCTTCAAACATAAAACAAGACCGCGCCATCAATATACTCCATTAACGCCGTAGAATAACTTAAGAAGTTGGAATGGGACATAAACTTACAGTTCGTAACTATTTACATTTTAAAAGTAAATTAACGTAACTAAATTTTAACGTGATACGCACGTATTTGCCGAGCCCATTGATGTAATGGTAGCAATGTATAGCTCAATCTATGCATAATCAACGGGCCGTGGGTTCGATTCCCTGAAATCTGGATATTAAATGGGTGGTAGGAATATCGAAAGGCCGTCCGTATCACGAACCACCGATGAAAAATTGTGGATATCCGATTACAAAAGCTTAATCGGTCGATAGCGCATCTTGTTTAGATGTTACATGGCTGGGTTATTCGTTACCCCATACTTGTATGATAAAAAAAAATAAAAGATTATCTTTCCTTTCTAAAACCGTCAATTAAATAGAAAATCACGAAGCTCAACTCTGTTGATTGAATAAAGTGTTTTTCTTGCAAGCTGTATAATGAATTCTTCATCGAAATTGCGTTTTGAAAGTTAAATGTGACGCTTTTCGCTAACGCATTTCGTGAGGTCCCGAACTCTGATTGCTTTTGATCTCGTCACGAACGCAAATAACCAGCTCTTAACAGCTCAAATTTTCCCTAAGTAAAATTATTAAACAACACGGGCCGTTACAATTGTGGCTATTTGCTTTTTAATTATTCTGATTCTAAAAGGTTAAGGAAATATTCTGACCGTCATATAAAAAAACAACAGAAAATGATAAAAAAAGAAATTGATTGCTTTTCCTAGCCGACCGCAATTGAAAAGAAAAAGGAAAATATATAAAGTAGGCGCGGATGAATCTATTTATTTATTTTTTTATTTATTATACGTCAATTATAACGGCAATAGCCAGTTACATTAATTGGATACACATACACATTACACATAGTTAAACAATTACACTTAAAAATAGGTTATTATAAATTACATTAGGAGATCATTTCTAAGGTAGACAATTCTTTTAGTATTGATGACCAATCATCTGCGAAGAAGTCGCGTTTCGGTCTTAACTCGAGGAGACCGTTGAGTGAGGTCAAAACTCGCGGGCGGAGGTGCGACCTAATATACTAGTAAAAGATAATTTAAAACTAACTATAATTGTCGAAATATATATGATGTATGTACATTTACATTTCAGCTAGTGTTGTATCGCTAATATGATTACATGACTTATCGTTGAACAGCGGAAATAAATATAGATAAAAATAAAATTGTCAAAGAAAATTAATATACCAGATGATAAGTAGGTACCTAATCAAAATATGATAAAAAATTACAAATTTTTAAAGTGACAGATACGATCTTTTACTTTGAAAGTATGTATGGAAAATAATTTCCAAAATTATTGAAATACTAGCTGTGCCCGCGACTAAGACGAGATACTTAATATTTAGTTGGTGAACATTTCTAAATTTCTATTAATAAAATCTATTAATCCTACACAGGAAAGAGTTGTAGGGGCTTATCCACCACGCGGGGTCAGTGCGGCTTGGTGGGTTTAAACGAATCTCGCCATTTAGTGGTGTTGATGACCTTGACATGACAATGATCACACCTCTTGGTACTTTAAACGAAACAGAATAATTCTAAAACTGAAGTAACATTATGGTCAACTTGGGTTTCGAACCTGTTTCGTCCTTGGGATATTAATTCAAAAAAGTGAAATCCCGTTTCCCCTTCATGGGGCATGGGGCGTACGCATTTTTGTGTTCGTTTCACTGACCCGTTCATTAACAGGCAAGCAGTTGATGAGACTTCTGTGTCCTGCCTGACCGAAACATTTTTTTGTTTCCCAGAGATTTGAACCCAGGACCTCTCGCGCCTAACGCAATGCTGGGCAATGCGTTTAACCGTTTGGCTATAGAGGCGGAATTTAATTCATAGGAGAAGCACTGTTCTTACATGAATGAACTAAGTATATTTAAATTCTTAGTTCAAACATTACTACGATACGTAATATTATAATTATGTATTGCATTAGAACAATTAGGCACGGTTAACGAGGTGTAGGATTTAGGTTAATAGCGGTGCTTCACTCGTGTTATTATTTACTAAGAAATCTAGTAAACTTGAAATATTAATAACAAAACGTAGCAGAACTTAAGAAACATATTTAAAACACTGTCTGTAGTTTACGCGAGTAGTACACATTTAAATAAAGCACGTTTTAAACGCGAAATATATTAGTTAAACTTATTTGAAAATTATTTTAAATACGGCCCGACGTTTTTTACATATTCTAACATCAGCTTTCGATGTTCATTTTTTATGAAAGGGGAGGACAGAAGACAATTATGGGGTTCGCTTGATGGGAGATGAAATACCCCAGCCATACTACATCTAAGCAAGATGAGCTGGCGGCCTATTATGGCTTTGGATATTAGGAAATCCACAGACTGAAACCGAAACGCGGTTAAACTTAACCGTCTTTCCTTCTTTGCACCGTATTTGGACATTCCTACCGCCCATTACATATTCAGATTCCCAGACGAAGTCCGACATGTTTCAGAAAAAGTATAAATTTATGAGAAATATAATGTTGATCACACATTTACCATTACACCAACGAGCCAATCGTATAAGACTCTTTAGACTTGGATTTATATAATTAACATGGTCCCCAACATCTGTGTGGCAGTTGTGTACCAACATTGACAAACGAAATTTGACAGTTCGCAACACGAGAGCGTACTGTGATTACATTCCGAATCCATTGTTAGCATTGCGCAAGACGTCCAATATGGAATAGCGTGAATGTTTTATTCTTTGCCAGGACGACCGTACACGCGATACTTTTAATTTTTAATTGCTTTTTTATATTTTTACGATAGCCAAAATAGCAAGTAAGGTGATAATATGCAGAAAAAATCCAACAAATTACCTTTTGAGTTTGAAAGAGAACGCAAAATTAGTTAGTAATTATAAGTAACTTAACCCAGTTTCATGAACTCATAGTCACAGACATCATTACAATTAACGTAATCTTTTCTTAGCTTGACCTGTGTGTGTCTGATCCTATTTTCTCTATGTAGGGAGATACACTAAAGGTTTAGTTAAATTTTTGTACCCTGCTCGACCGAACTATTACTTTTCTCCGATATTCTTACCCACGACAACTTGCGCTTACGTATCTTGGCGACGTATTTAACCATAAGTCACGGGAGCTACATATAGTAC